AGCCTCGTTTGTTTAGTGGTTAAGGCGCTAAACTGTTATTGTAAAGAACTGTGGTTCGATCCCCAGCGACGGTTTGGAACCTTAACGCAGTCAGTGACCATGAACCCCTGGCTCACAGTGGGCTGTTACAGGAATACTTAACATTTTTTTTAATGTAACTCATTGATTACATTCCTGTTTTTGTTTAAATAATAGTATGTATATGTCGCATTATTTATGTTTGTGGTTCGAAACTAACTGTCGGCAATAACTCAGGTGCAGCTAAAAGTCCAAAATCGGACATTCATTTAGTTACAAATAAAAAAATCCGAATGGAACGATAATTTTCAAATAAGAGACTCAAGTTGGGCAATCATTTTGGAAATATGTTTACAAACGGTTCATTCATTAAAAAACTGTTTAATTCAATATTTGCATTGCTCTGTGGCGTTTTTGTTAGGTATATTTTCAAAGGAAAGCCACATGTACAGTCAGTGACAATGAAATAAAAACAAGAAAAAAATATAAACCAAAGCAACTCAAATTAAAAAGTCATACGAAAAACTAAGTCATAGTTGATTGAAGAGTTTTTCGACGACACTCTTTAAGGTTCATTTCTAATTTGGAAATTGCTTTTTTTTCTTCTAAATTTTCTAAATTGTTTCTAGTTTATAAGTTTGTCCAGCGAAGAGAGAGGATTCCGTTGGATCTCATAAATACCACATCGGAATAGTAAAAAATAATATGCTCTACTTACAAATTGAAGACATCAATGGTAGAAAGTTATAATCAAATCTTATAAAAATTTCACTTCCCTTCTATAATTTTTTTCATCTCTTAAGTGTTCTGTTCGTGAATCTGTTATGTTCGGTAAAAACCCAGTTACTTAATAAAGCATACAGTATTTATTTTCGATCGCAACAGAAAATGTTCAACGGAATATAACGAGAACATTGGTATCGTGAAAATGATATATTGATTCAACTAAATAATGAATATGATGCGCAATATGCAGTTTCACTGAATTTTTCCATATGCGTAACAACACCTACCGATTTCTTATTTTCTAATCAAGGATACCAAAAATAAATTAAAACAATTATTAAAAATCAAATTCAAAACCAACGGTTAACTTAAAATGAAGCATAAAACATTTATTTGAGGTCACTACAGAAAATAATTATCGGAAAATTACGGGATATCAATATATCATAATAATATATTGATTCAACTAAATAATGAATAATATATGCAATATTCCAATTTCACTGAATTTTTTCATTTGCATAACAACTCCTACTGATTTCTTATTTTCAAATCAGAGATATCAAAAATAAATATTAAAAAAGGATTTGAAATCATATTTAACCCCCTCCCCAGTTATTTAAATAAGCATAAGACATTTATTTTCCATCACAACATCATATTAAAAATTGCTATTGATAGATCAAGTTTCATACGCAACCCATAACAACTCCCACTTATTTCCTATTTTCAAATCGGAGAGTTATTGAATTTCTATTATTGGTATTTCATTTCGGCGGCAGTTCCTTTCTTATCTCTTCTCCTCCTTATCTTTCAGACATCAAAATTAACTCTCAGAAAGACTAAGAATTCAACAACAACGGAATTTGGTGCTCTTCGTTGTAACGAGCTATTTTTAGCAACGAACGCCGACAGAACCACATAAAAGAACACAGATTTAACAGCCTGTTGATCTTGACCGCTAAATCATTATGGGGTTTCGATTTCTTCTCCACACCAATAAGGATAAAGTACGTCACTACAGAGGGCTTAATACGGCCGCTGCGTTCTTTTTCCCTCTTTTTTTTCCCCAAAGGGATTCATCTCCTTTATATAGCATCAAAATCCGAAAATAGCTATTCGATTCGACAAGATTTATACGATACTTTGATAGATATATTTTGAGAGATTATTAAGGGTTGTCGAGCATTGCTCTGATGACATGGCAATATTTGATGACGCAGTTAGTTGAACGTTGGGGTATATTTGAGGACTTTTGTCTCAAAATGACTTGAACTTCTTCTTTTTTGATAGATGATTTCATGAGAGTTTGTGGACCTATCTTCAGGTATTTTCTTTTTGCTTTTTTCTTAAAAATCCTGCCAGAATTTTAATATATTATTTTTCGTAAAAATTATGCATTTATATTTTGGTATTTTCTCATAAAAATTAACTTTATTTTAGTAAGAAGAACATGAGTATGTTTAAGAAATATTTAGAGTTTAGTGAGGCATCAGATTAAATATGATAATTTTATGTTTGATGGTAATATTTTTAATTAGGAATATGGTAATATTTGGAATGATGAGATAAATTTTGTGTATATTTTGGGACTAAAAATTTTGGCTCAATGTGTAATAGGTTTGGAACTTATCATATTTGAGGTATGATTTTATTGCAGCTTAAGGTTTTATCTTATACATTTTTATGTTTGATGGTAATATTTTTAATTAGGAATATGGTAATATTTGGAATGATGTGATACATTTTGCGTATATTTTGGGACTTAAAATTTTGGCTCAATGTGTAATAGGTTTGGAACTTATCATATTTGAGGTATGATTTTATTGCAGCTTAAGATTTTATCTTATGAATTTTTATGCTTGATGGTAATATTTTTAATTAGGAATATGGTAATATTTGGAATGATGTGATAAATCTTGTGTATATTTTGGGACTTAAAATTTTAGTTCAATGTGTAATAGGTTTGGAACTTATCATATTTGAGGTATGATTTTATTGCAGCTTAAGGTTTTATCTTACGCATTTTTTCATTTCAAAAAATTAATGCTAGGATATTTTAGATTGAAAAATAAAAATAATTCAAGTAGTACAGTAACAGAGAACGTTGATAAAGTACAATGCTTTTATTGCTTTAATTTTCTTTCCTTTTCTGTTTGTTTGTAAACAAGCATTTGATATTTATTAATAATGCTTGGATATTAGTCTTATGCTTTTGTATTTTCTTAGAAAATCAATGATTGTTCATTCAGCTTAAGATAACTGGAATAATGTAACAAACTCAACAGTAGAGAATTCTAGTTAAAAACGCATTTTCAAAGATTATCTGAAATTGAATATTTTTAACTGTTAAATTTTTATTTTTATAATATTTATTTATAACTCATTTGTGTAGCTATAAATTCTCTGTGTAGACATTAGAGATACGATAGTTTCTTGTGGTTGCTTCTTTTTTTCAGTACTACACTAAAAAAAAGCTTAATTCAAGCTTAACATAAGTTTTGAGTTTTGTGATCATCAGCTGAGGATTTCAGGAAATAAAAGAAAACAATCAAGGGCTATATTTGCATAAACGTAGGTAACAGTGAAGGTTCGCATGAGATCAAGAAGAGAGGCCAACATGGGAAATCTATTTTGTCCTCTGTGGTACATGTTCGATCCTTTTACCGTTTCTAATCGAGTTTATCTGTAGTTATAAATACAGAATTTATAAATTTTATAATTTATAAGCACATAAGTGTAAGTTTATGGCCAAGTAAGCAAAATTTTGAAAAACACACACGCTTTCCACCAAAAAAAATGGTCGTAAAAATGAAATTGATATTAAGCAATATGCTGACAGAATTTATTTTTTATAAATATGATATATATAATATTTAAGCAATTTATTTTTTATAAATATAATATATATAATATTTAAGCATAACATAACTAGAAAAAAAATGGGTCGCATATTTTTTCGGGCATTGAATAAAGTTCTGGGATAAAGCGAGGATTATATCGCTTTTCCACTGCCATTTATCATATTTGCAGTTTTCAATTAACTAATTGCAATGAATTAATTGACATTAATTAATCACTATTAATTTATTAATTTTATTTTTTATTAATTGATTTTTATTAAATAATTTGTATTAATTAATATTCATTAATTGTTATAAATTAATTGTTAATTACATTTAACCACGATATTAGAACAATAAAAAGTCGTAATTTAAAAAGTGTTTCCAATTTGTTTTCTCAAATTGATTGAAATTCAAAACAATAATTAATTTTAATATTATGCTATATCCCTAAAACTAATTTCAAACTTTAAATAATATTTGCAATCTCTACTTGTGCATATAAATTTTTGTAGTTGCTTGTGGGCATGAAACTAATAATATTTATTAGCAAAAGAGTAATATCATTTTGTAAAATTTAAAATTTCAAATGAACACTTAAACAGATCTCGATAAATAACACTGAATAAATTTTTTGCTGCATTTGCAAAAATACTCGATCTTGTCTAATTTGGGTGTAAAGATTTCAAATCTGAAATTAGTTTTGCTCCTAAACATATACATTTTTTTCACATAACATTTTTAGTCCATTTTTTGTCAAAATGTACAAGTTTAAAAACGTTATATATAGCAGGGGGTCACGAAAATGTTGCTGCAAACTTCTAGAGGAGTAGGGATACATCATTCGAATTAAAAATTTTATAGAAATTCCTGTCCGGAAACTTCGCCGCTAGGAATGATTCCCTATTGTGAATTGATAGCCGCATATGACGGCATTTCCTAGCATGAGTTTCTGAGAAATTTTAATTCGAATAATGCTCCTTAATCCCCCTTGAAGTTAGTCGCAATAATTCCATGACCCCTTTTTATGCATAACGTTTTTAAACTTATGCATTTTGACAAAAAATGGACTAAAAAATTGCAATTTAAAAAACAAAACGGTAGCTTAGAAAGATAAACTGATCGCAGATTTGAAATCCACCTTACGAAAGTATCTAGGATCCGGGAAAAAATCTCCAGTAGCAGAAAAAAAAATTGTTCCACAGTGTAATAGTTTAAAAGATGTCTTTTACTAAAAATATTAAGTTATCTTAATTTTGTATTTTACCTTATATGTACCTCGAATTTAAAAATGAAATTGAATCTTTTAGTTGAAAATTATTATTGAAATTTGCGATTATTCATTGAAATTAGTTTAATAAATAAGTTTAATTTACTACCTAGTGGCAGTTAAACATTTTATTTTACTCTTAGGTTGAGTCGAACATTGTCTGGACCACGACGATGCAATAAGTGCCAAAAGATGGTTTATTTTTCAGTTTATCGGTGCAAACAGTGCGGGTAAGTTATTTTCAATTCTATAATTATTTAGTCATTTACAAAAAACAATTGTGAAAAGATAGGTTTCAAACACAAAAGCATATTTTTTAAGTAGTAATTAAGAACTAACAAATTATTATATGGTATAAAAAATTTCCTTGTAATTTTTTATGTAATTTTTTTGCATCAGTTTCAACAAATTTAAATAAATATTTGAAAAATAAACAACTTACGATCTAGTATTTATTCAGAAAATACTTATTTATTTTGTGTGGATAATTTCCGATGTTTCTTGGGATTTCTTTTTAAACACCGGCTGCAAATAATTACATTGGGTCAGTACCCCGATTGAAGTTTTTGGAGCTCCCTCGTAACTGTTATGACGAGGCCGTTCGGAAACAAACAGAAAAGTTTAATCAGTTTTTATCCTAAGAGAAGAGTGGAGAAATTATTTCCTTCTCTTTTTTCTGTAAATAAATTAATTAACTTTGGGTAGATTTCAAATGTTTTGAAAACAAACTTTTCATTTTAATACAAAATATTTCCCAATACAGCACCGATAATATTTTTTGTCATTTTTTATCAGATAAATATTCATATAAAATATACATTTAGAAGTTTATAATTAGATTGGCTCCTTTTATTTCAAATGATTAAACCGTATTTGGTAGGAATGTTTCCTGAATTTAAACTTTGAATTGTATTTTTGATTATTGAAATTCTTTGAGATTTGACTTTTTACTGTAGTTTAATTTGCTGAAACGTATATTTTAAATATTAATAAAAGAATTATTATTAAATAAAAAGCAATGACGTCACATGAAAATTATGAATAGAATCAACTTAAAAATCAAAAGTTAAAAGATTAATAACTGTTAAACGATAAACTTCTCAAAAGTTGAAAAAAATTTCAGCGGGCTTCGTGTCGCGGAACAGACGCAGTTTAGTATGATGATCATTTCAACGAAAAAACTTTAAAAAAAACATGATTCGTTTCGTTACGTAAATATGTTTTCCACTGAATCTTCTTTCAAATGTACTTGTGACATTATGGCATTATTATTTCTTCAACTAAAAATATCTATTTTTGTTATACTTATAATTGCATTAAGTACGATTGAAATAACTTAAACGATATCTTATTGAAAGTGTTTGGTTATATGATGTCCTATTTTTTTTTAAGTAAATTAACTTTATTAGAATAATAAGGAATTTTTAATAACAAATCTTAAAAAACGTGATCCAATTTCGGAAAGACTGAATAATCTGCTTAAATGGGATATTTATTTATTTCAATAGTAAAATTTTTAAAACGTTAAATTTTGCTTTCTTAAAAATTTGTAGTTTAAAATAGTAGATTCACTAATTTTTGAGTTACGATATTTAGGTATTAGTTGTTTATTTCAGATAATACAATAATTATATAATATCATTTTTTTTCATTGCATTTTTATTTTTTATAGGGAATTAACGCATAAGCACTGTTTGTATCATACCAATCAAGTTTGCAAACCAGGTGTTTCAAGTGACGGTGAAGGAAATAGTTTGCCACCCCTCATAAAACCTAGTAAGTGCTTTTTTTCTGAATTATTAAAAGAAAAAAATACAGTTTATTGTCTTTAGTGAACAACTTGAGTGTATATATACAGGTAAATAGAATCTAAAATTACTATAACAATAAGATCGTCATTCAAAATATTAGTTCATGAACAATGATCTAATATTTTGTTATTCATAGATACATCATCTATGAATAACCTCTCAGTGAAGCTGCCAGGCTGGCTCATTTTACCGAGCAATCGGGGGGATGGGAATTTGTAACTAGATGTTCCATGAAAATTTTTTCAGATGAAATAGTCTGACATGTAGCAGAAAACATTGTTTTATAGTTAATATTTTCAGACATTCGTGCCATTTGTTAACAAATTAATTAATTTTAAAATTTGTTGGAAATAAATCTAGTTTCCTAAGCAGAACTCAGAAAACCATACGTCTCTCTCTGAAACAGTTTTTAATGGGTTATTTTCAATTGTTGATCCTTTTTTGAGAAACCGGATAAGTATTTTGTCGTGGGAATTTTTTCTTCTTTTCGGAATTCACAGTTATTTGTCTTAAGTCCAATTGCAAAATATTCGGATTATGTATTGTGAGTAAAAGTTAGATTTGTTTTATTTAGAAATTTTTTAATGCAGTATTATTTTCCAGTCATAGGAGTGAAAGTCTAATGAACGGGAATATTCCCAACTATAAATTTTTTTCCTTCCCTTTTTTTTCGCTCACTGAAATTTTCTAATAGCGCCTTTAAAGAATCATATTTTTATAGAAATGACGCAAAATTATTTTTAATTATTTGATAAATTTTGAACACATTTTTCTTGAAATAATTTGACAACGTGAATGGTTTTAGCTTAGCTTCGTTTTAATGTCTTTATTTAAACGTTTTACATAAGACATTAATTCACTATCACTAACGACTAAAAATAAGAGAAATGTTTGAATTATTTACACAATATTTCAATTACAAACATGTAAATTAAGTCGAATTTTTGTAATAAATTGGGTCGCATAGTTTCAAAAGAGTTTTCAGTGCAAACTGAAAAATTTAAATTTAGATGAATGGAAAAAAATACAAGACGAAAATCCTTGAGGAGTTAACAAAACAAACAAATAAAAAGAAACATCGTTTATATGAATAAAACAAATTTTTTTACAATTTTCAATTTTTGTAAGGGAAAAAGTATTTACCCAACAGCATATAGTGGGCCAGGGAAGTAATAGAACTTATAGTTCCCCAGTTTTATAATCAATGCCTTGATGGTCAATGGTCTGTAATGTCTTCCTAGATAGCTGATGCCCATAGATCTAAAGCTTTAAGCCTCCATCAGGCATAGAACCCCAGATGATTTCAAGCATCAAAACACTGTTCATTTTTATTTTATTTCTTTATTCATTATTTTTTGGTAGTTCACTACAAAACACTACAAAAACTTAATTAGAACAAACTCTAAAAATAATTTTTTTGGATTTTTAATATTCCATGCCATATCAGTGATTTTTATTTATAATTAATTAATTCAATTTAAAAATGTACTGTTTTAAATTTTAGCTGAATATGAAGAGTGGCGTTCCCCAGCCAGTCCTCGAGTATGGTGGGCACGTAAGAATCGTCACATGACAGACTCTCCATCATCCTATGATGCTGAAGAGGCTTACCAGAATGAATTAAGACACCCCAGTCCGGGAGCTGCTATGGCCGGACTTTTAAAAATTGTACAATGGCTGTCCCATCGAAAAAGAAACAGAAGCAATGTTGCCAAGACGCAAGAAAAACACATTAAAGGAAAATACGGCCTTAATCTGAATGTTGAAGATAAGCAGACGAAGAAGAAATTAAAAACGCTTATAAAGAATTACCAAAGGTTTGTAAAAAATTATATATATATATATATATAATAAAAACCTTTCCACTATTACCCAAACTAATTAAATGATTGTTGGTGAACTTTTAAAAAAGATTTATATTCATATTTTAAATTTCAAATATAAATTTGAATATTGTTGTGCTACGTAGTTAGAAAAGAAATTTTAAGATAAAATTTTTCTTCTTTGTCTTATGATAACTTTTAAGAGAGTTTTGACTAATTGAACTTTAAAGAATTTCAAGCCTGTCTCACGGAAAATGGATGAGAAAGATAATTGCTGAAACTATAAAATGAGTAAGTCCCTATGTAAAAATGTCAATGAGCAAAATTTGCAGTATTTTTTTCTATTTTTATTTATTNAACATAAATTAAATGACTGATGAACTTTTTAAAGAGATTTAGATTTTAAATTTCGAACATAAATTTGTATACTGTGCTACATAGTTAGAAGGGAAATTTTAAGATATAATTTTTTTTTCTTTGTCGCCTAACTTTTAAGAAAGTTTTGACTAATTGAACTTAACAGAATTTCAAGCATGTCTCATCGAAAATGGATGTGAAAAATAATTGCTGAATCTATAGAATGGATCAGTTTCTATGTAAAAATGTGAATAAGCAAAATGTTCAGCATCCTTTTCTTTCTTTCTTTTTGTTGAAGGAAGGGGGATCCACCCCCTTTTCCAACCCTTTCTTTCTCTAAGAGGATCCTCCCCCTACTTGCTCTACTCATCAACTCCAGGATTGCTTCTCATTAATCATAGTTTTTTTTCTTTAAAGTAATTTTTTTAATAAAATATTTAATTATTATAATTTCCTATGAGATCACTTCATTCGTTATATTTATTGTAACGAAATGAAAGACTACCTGCATTTGAAAAATAATCAACTGTGCTTGAATATAAAAGTTAAAACTTAGAAATGCAGATTCGGGACATCATAAGTAAAAAGAAATGAAAAGTTATTTTACTCGCTCACCAGGGGTCTGTTTAGAAGAAATTTGGGTCCATTAACGGACCCTTCACAAAATATCTTCTCATAAAAACGGACCCTTCACAAAATAATTTATCTCTTAACGGTCCCTTCACAAATTTGTTTATCTTCATTATTGTTTTGTTAATCGAATAAAACCTTCCCAAGAAGGGCGGGGGAAAGAAAGACAGATGTAAACAAACTAAATTTTGTCTTCCTCCTTTTGTCTTCTTCCTTTCCGGCAGACGCTTCTTCCTTTATTCGTCCGAAATGAATATTCTGCGTTCAGCAGTATATGCTAAATACCAAATATTTGTATGTTGCATCGCTAATTTAGTAGCTGAAATTGCTGTTTATTTTTTGAAATTTAATTTTTTTAGTTATAATTTTACAGTGTTGAACATAATCTTGTATGTCTTTACAATTTAAAAAATCCTTGAAAACGTTTTTTTGCAATGACGAACCCTATTTGCACAAATTCACAAAAGCGGATCCTAGTTGAAAGAATGTGACTTAAAGTTTATTTTATATTCACAAATTACGAGTAATTTTTTCACAATTTTACAAAAATGGACCCTTCACAAAATGTCTGGACAGACCCCTGCTCACGATAACTTACATTAATGTAGCAGTAAAATTAAGAAACAGTTTTTCATCGCTTTTGAATAACTTATCAAAATCTTTAAAAATTTCAATACAAATGTTAAGATTTAAATATGGCTATATCTAATCTTTCTCTCTATTTTCTTTGTGACTTTTAACACCAATTTAAGAGAGAGTTTATAAAATAATGATTTCGAGAGAGATAAATAAAATTTCCTATAATAATGTATAAGTAGTCATTATTTAAAACAAAAAACTAATGTGAAAAATTTATAAAAGGAAGCACGTAATAACTTTCAAATAAATTAGATAATAATATATAAAATAATTCGAATAATGAAATTCCATTTTGTAGCCTTCTTAATTTACTTTAAGATAATTTATTTCAATTTTTTTTCGGAGTTTTCAAATTTGGAATAAGGCTCTTTATATTAATTTAGACATATTTTAATGATTTTACTATCTCAGATGTTTAACAATAGAAGTTTCTGTGTATTTATGTAAAAGAATCAATAGTCTCTCTCTATATATTTTTCAACTTTAGACAAATGTATACTACTGGCTATTATGGTCCACATCCTCAGCAACGACAACAGCATCAACCACAGTACCTCAATAGCAACGGACATAGCCAGCTAGGGAGACAACGTTTAATTAACAAGAGACCATCAGTAGTTAATGAATCAGGAAGCGATATTATGTCCCCACGAAGCAGTGTTTCATCTTATAGTGGTAGCTCATTCATGTCACCTGCTAGTACTCCAGACATTGACAATGTTCGAGGAAGAAGAGATAAGATGGTTAAACAAGCATCCATTAAATGGCAAGTATACTGATAACACTGATAATAACTTATAAAAATAGAAGTTTTTAGTTTTATTTAATATCGTAGATTTATGCATATATTTTATGTACACCGAGTTTTTTCCGTTTACTTGTTAGAGGAAGCAGAAATAAGAGGGTTAAACAAGCATCTATTAGTAATACAGAGTAGTCAATGCTAATAATAAATCATGTAAAAATAGAAGTTTTCATTTTTATTTAATATCAAAAAATAGCAAAACAGAAAAGTAAATTTACCCAAATAAATGGTTTTATACTATGCTATAAAATACTAAATAATTTATAGCTATATAAATTCCTAAATTTTACCATATTTATTAAGTTTAAACATATTTAACAAATTCTTTCACATATTATAGAATTTTGTTTTATTCTGAATTTTAACAAAATAATTACCGAAGCACAGTCAAAAAAATTACCGAGCTTTTTAGTGTTTCCATAGAACCAGAAATACGGTAAATTTCCCCATATTCTGGTACTTTTAACCATACTTTTTTTCTAGTGTTGTATTCACATTTCTGTAAACGATTTTTAAAACTCATTTTTGAACTGTTTTTCTATATTTTGTTTACTTTATATATTGCTTCGTTCAAGTAAGGATAAAAACGGATTTAAATCACTAAAAAATTCTAACTTACAGTTCCTATTTATGCTTGGTGTATTTATTTTTCCGAAATCTGCATTCTGATTTTAGTAAAAAAAATTCTAATCTTAATACATTATTACTTGTGTTTTTGTATTTTCTCAGTTATTTCATACAATTTATTTGTTCGATTAGGGAGCGTGACGTGATAAAATCACTGAAGATTGCCAACATCAGTCCTTCTAATGCCTCTAGTCAGCCAACAGAGCATCAACGCAGTGAGAGATCGAGATTCGCTTCGGTATCTCCGAAACCCTCATTAAGACCTAATGATACTAGTTGGATACCAGGCGATAAAGGTAGCATTTTTAATAAAAGAAGTGCTTTAGATGCTAAAACAGCAACTATATCATTTGCTCGACCACCCAATCTCTGCAAAGCAAAGACATTAAGTGTAGAAAGTAGAGAATGCAAAAATGAAAGTTTATGTGCTACATGGCCACCTGCAGGGAAAGCTGGAACTATTTTAGGTAAATTAAGGGCAATATGTTCTTTTTCATTGTATAATTTCAGTACTTGACAATGTTTTAAGTAATTTTTAACCCGTTACCTGTTTTTTGACGCAATATTAAACGATCTGGTATTTTGTGCACGCTGTTCTTGACTTAATATTACGTTCCTATTTAGTCATTCCATTTTCGTTTGCTTTCGCGTTAGACGTATTTTGTTCTCTACGTCGAGCGTGAACGCTAACCAATTGCAAAGATTGCCTCCATGCCAGCAAAAAGGGATCGAAAAGCAAATATCCTTTAAACAAGAAAGGAGTTGATATATTATGCAGTTTATAAAAAGAATACAGTAATCAATTTGCTCACATTCAAGAATGAAGGTTGAAAATGATAAAAACAAAAACTTATAACTTATTTATCCTCATTGTAATCAATTACAAATATTCGATCTAAAAGTCTACAGATTTTATTGGTTTGGATTGTTGAGATGCTACAGTCGATGAAATGAGTCTTTTCCATGGTATTAGTCTATTGTAAAAATTATTGATTCATTTTATATTTCGTTGTCGACATTAGAATATATAATTTGTTACATTATTATATCATTACGTAATTTATTATATCGTAATAACATTATATAATTTGTTATACCGTTATTAAATCATATAATGTTATTAAAATTATCAACAACAAAAGAAAAAAAAACTGAAAAATACGGGATTTGCAATCAATTAAAAATATGCTTTCCAAGTGTATCGTAGATTTTATTGTTATGGATTGTAAGGACTCTGCTACCTATGATATGAGCTGAAATAAAATGTGTTGATCCATTTTATAAATTTATTATCAAAACTCATGTTTTAATTTATTATCAGTAATTATCATTTTTGATAAAACTTTATACTATTTATATTGACTTCAATAAAAATACAGTAATTATATCATAGAAGTTTTAAATGTTGAATTGAATGATCATTCACTAAATTACTTTAGCATTCAGCAAATCACTTCAGCTTCTTTTTCTTTTACTTTAGCATTTGAAACACCATAACGTTTCAAGTATATTGAAACCCTAATTTAAAATTATTTCATGAGGAAAGTCTTGAATTTGTTTACGAGTTTTAATATCGTATTGATGTCAGAAAATATTACATTATAAATTGTTTTGCACTTCATTAGTAAAATTATACTGGAACTATTAAAACTTGTTCTTAACAAATAAATTTATTCTTTAGTGATCAAATATACTTTATCATATTTAGAGAGTACAAATTATACTTTTTTTAGTATAAAATTTTGATTACAGCAATTGTTTTTTTAAAAAAAGAAAATGGCTTTATTACATTTCATTTATTTTTTTTATAGAAGAAATAGTCGATGAAGGAGAAGTTGATTGTATTGAAGAAACGGATGAATCTTTTAATTTTAGGTAACTGAATAACTTTTTTTCCGTGTCATAAGGTCACACTGGACAATAACTAATCATCCCTCAAAAAATAGACTAATTCATCATTTAAAACTCCAGTTCTGAACTTAATAACTGGTTGGGAGTGAGTTCACTAGTTTTTCCTGGTATGTCGCATTCAATTTTCATAAGCTCACCGGATCCGTATCATAATGCTAACCGGATAATAATTAATCATCCCTCAAAAAATAGAGTAATTCATCATTTAAAACTCCACTTCTGAACTTAATAACTGGTTGGGAGTGAGTCCACAAGGTTTTCCTGGTATGTCGCATTCAGTTTTGTATTGAATTCGTTAAAACTACATTGTTGAATTCTTTGAAACTGCATTGTTTGCCATTGAATTCTTTGAGAATTTGAGCTCGCAAATTCATGAAAATGCGGAGATGCAGATATAGGTGCTATATCCTCTTTCAATTTTTCAGATTTTTAGTGGGGTTCAAGTTATAGGATTTTGCAGATTAATTGAGGTGTAATAGGGTGTTTTGGTTTTCATAAAACCAGTCACTTGAGCATTGTTGATGTTATCACGAAAAATAGGAGCACCAACATCATACTCATAATACAGCAGTTAATTTTGCGCCTTTAATAGTGTTTAAATTTTTTTTTATGTCGGGTGAGCTAAATCTATATAAAATTTTAAATGAATACCAAAAAATAATTAAATGCATTTATACGAAACAAGAATTGCGTTCTTCGGATGCAAAAATAGCGTTATAAATTTTGAGGATTGTAACATTATGTTAAAATTTTATCACTTTATTACCACCGTTTAACATCAGACCCCATTTTGAGTTTACCACTACCAATGCTCAACTCCACAGCCTTGTAATTTTGAACTCAATCCAGAAGACAAGGGAGCTCCTGTATCAAGTATTGGGAGAAATTTGCTTTCGTGGAGGACCTTTTGATGGAAGTAACACGCATTTGCGTTACATGGGGAGGAATACTTCCTACGGTTAGCCTAACGGCAAGCGGACTCTAATTCATTATCCGTCTACCACTGAGTATGTTTTTACGTCAGCACTATGATCGATGCAAGCCGTGTGCCGAATTCGAATTCTAGCCATGGCTGGGATTCGATCCAGAGTCATCTCATTGAGATGCGAGTGCCTTATTTCCTGAGCCACTACGGTTCATAATGATAAAATTAAAAAAAAATTCTTTTAAATTTGTACATTTTTTCAATCGTGGACACTTGGGAAGTTAAAAATTTTGTTTTATTGTAATAAAATATACGCATTCATTGAATTTCTATTTGATGATACAATAGCAGCGAGTAAATATCAGTATCGGGAAAATTGAAGACACAGCTAAATTTTGTACGTCATAAACCAAGTACAGGGGTTTTTTATTCTTAAGTTTATTATTATTACTAAATAATATAACTATAAGAAATGATGAAATTTTTTTGTATGAAAATTTTTTAAAGTCGTGTTTAAACAAGTTTCATAAGTAGATACAAAAATGTTTTTATTTTGCCTAATAAGTTAATGAAAAACTAATAAGTTACTGAAATCCATTATTTCAAATTAAAGTTATTCAATATATATCATTTAACATTTTATTCGGACAATGAGAGTTAACTCTCCGTATATTAGGTAAAAATGCTCTAGAGTAAGTACGTTATATTTACTAAATAAACTAGAATTTAAAAAAAAATGCTTTTACTTTTTAAACGGAAATTGATTCGAAAAAGAAATTTTCGACGCTTTGAATGTGAAAGAAATAGTTTACGCATCTTGAGGATATTCATGACTAAGAATTTTAATCATTTTCTGTTGGATATTTGCACCGAATTAATATTAATGTTGCTATTTATAACAAAAGGATTTTATGTTTCTTTAAAACTGTCATGGAATAGAGAATTTCTTGTTCATATTATGTTACCCATATTTTAGAACTTAAATTCAATTCTATTTCAGTGATTTCCGCACTGATTCACAAAATGGTGAGGAGTCTCTAAGAGAATGGTACATTCCTTATAGTGACATCGAATTTAAAGAAAGACTGAAGCACGGTCGAGAAGGTGACATTTACAGGTACAAAAATCCTTTAACCTATTAATAATTGCATAATTTTGACGAAAATGGTAATAAAAGAGCATACTTTTATTTAAGCAATAAAATTACAGAAAACTAGGTGGATGTACATTGCACGAAATATTAAACGAACAATTCTAAATATCTTTTGATCTAATGATCTATCTTTTGATCTAATGATCTTCACGTTCCAGGACTCAATTTTAATGCTTCAAGGGGGTAATGTCAAACATACTAATTATTAAATGCAAATAATATTTTAAGTTACGAAAATCAGACTCAAAAACGTATTTTGTCTGATTACACATACCTTATTTTCAACAAAAAATTCGGATTTCTGACCCGTAGAATATAATGAGTAGCCGACATATGATCTCAATAGTTTGGTCAGGATAACGATCCACAGTTTCAATGCCTTAATGCTAATTTTACTTTTGCATATTTCTCCTTTTCTCGAGAACTTTCTAAGCCAATTGCAAAATTTTTGCACTCAATTATAAAATTCATTTTTCCAAAGTTAATTCCATGTAAAAAATTACCCTATAGTATTTATTTATCATATTTTATGGTTTTATTTAATAATAGTCAAAAAAGTTTGAATTGTAAAGGTATACATATTTTTACATTATTTTAAAAAATGCGATTTTCAATGGAAAAATACAAAGTCTTTTAGGCTTAGAATGTTAAGATTGTAATTTAAAATATCGTCTGTATCAATTAATTAGCATATTTGAAGTCACCCTTTCGAACCATTAAGATTGAGTCTAAAACGTGAAAATCCGATAATTAGGTTCAGAAGTTATTCAAGATGATCCGTCTTTTATGATCCGTCTGTGCAATGCACGTATTAATTTCGAATTTTTGGATCAATTTTCAGCTTATTTGAATGAGTGCTTACATCTAGTTTGAAATCTAATAATCTCTAATTCTCTCTCTCTAATACATTACAAATATTCTGGTACTACCATTTGGCGTATATATTGAGAATTAAACAAGATTCCTGGTACAGGAAACAGATTGCTTTAAGGTTTCCGACTCGTTACCTTTGAACAATCCGCGGAAATATTAAGGGAACGTAATTTAAAGGTTGATACTTCATCCTATCATTTATTAATTCAATACAATTGCCTGCGAAAACTGAAATTAATACTTATGTATTAATAACTATTAACAACTATCAATTAATACCTTTATATTAAAATTAAACTATTTAAGCATCTTTTTTATAAAGTTATTTTTTAAGACCATCATATCTGTATTTTAAATTAACTTTTAGAATGTTTATTCGAATGAAAATCAGTTATAATATGGGAACAATTTTAAAATTTAGGGGTCGTTGGTATGGAGAAGTTCTCATTTATACTATTAGAGAAACAAATGGAAAAGAAAAAGAAATGAATCAATTCTTAGACGAGGTTGCCCAGATGGGCATGATTAGACATGAAAATATAGTTCTTTTTATGGGTGCCTGCATAGAACCACAGAAACTGGCTGTTATCACTAGGTAATTATACTATCATAGTTCTTACCAATTTTCATTTATAATTTTGAAATAAATAAATGCTCACTTCCATTTTATTTTCTGACTTAAAGAAAAGAAGTAAACTATTATACAACTTTTGAAATCTCTTATTGTATTATTTGCTCACTTACTTTATGCCTCAACAACATCACACATTAAAAGGATGCTCCTTTATTTGGATGAAGAGATACATTATTCTAACATAAAGAAGATTTTCGCAAAGCTAATTAACTGTCAGACCCAGGACCCCCAGTCCTAAAGTCCAGAATTCAAAATTAAAAGAAAAGTAATTGAATCGTTCCTAACGGACAGTCGGGAACTTGCGAAGAGATCCATAGTTGGTGCTTTATTGAAATATAAAATAGCCAAAAACAAAGCCAACCCCACGTAATTATTGTTAAATTTGAAATAATTTGGCTATAGCCTAATCACCAAAAGGACAGTGAGAATTAATATAACCTTGTAGCTGAAAAAATTTTGTGGTAAGAGTAATAAAGCAACTTAAGGAATAAAGAGTTATAAATAGATTTTGATGTTCTATTTAGTGACAAGGAATTAATGAGTTTCATATTCGTATTGAATTAAAAAGTTAGCCGCAAAAATGACTGTTACGAAGATAATGAAATATTTATATTTGCTTTTTATAAAATGTAATAAAAATTAAATAATTCATTTAATTAAATTTATATTAAATTTGATGAAAAAAATTTAATTTATAAAATTAAGGAAATTTTTAAAGCTGGGAAATATGTAATGTCTGTTATGGTATCACATATGATTTCAAGAAACCTGACTTAAACCATCAAAATTAGGTAGTTTTTTTGGAAATAGGAATGGAATAATTTAAATTGAAGTACGAAGATATAAATATGTGCATAAACTAAAATATTGTTTGATGATTTAGAATATGCAAATTATAATTGAAATATTTAATATTTTGACCAATTTTGAAAAAAAATTCTTTTTATTGAATTATCTAGTTTCAGATTTAGTTTTATATTAATGGAAAATTTCTTTCAAAAAGCTTACTGACGTTTATAATTTTCAAGATCTAATTCTTTTTAATACAGTAGCTGGTTTCGTTTATTTTAATCGAAGAGCTCATAGTAAAAACGATGAAAGGCAATATCATATGTGGCACTGAAGTAAATTTACTTTTTAAGTACTTCTTTTATATTTTGAAAATCATTTAATCTAATTGTATGCTTTTAAAAATCTTTTTCTGATGTAATTTCGGAGAAAAATTAATCTCTGATAGAACAGAATGTTTGAAAAACTTAATATTATTTTGGTAATAAATGCTGTAGGTAGTCATGACAATCTGATTTTAATTATTGTGGACAATCTATCGAAACGTCTATTTTCATTAACCAACATGAGTAACGCTGTTCCTTATATTGTAATTATGACAAAATATCGTGTTTCGTGACATTTCCCCTGCTGATAAATATAATTTATTCTGCTGAATTTGAATAATTATAAAATAAAAACTAGCATAAAATAATAGGGCTTTCATTGGCCATGGAAATTCCCTGAGCCTTAAATCTTCCCTTCTTCCTAGAGTGCGTTTTTTGAATTGAAACTTATTTGAAAGGTATTCACTATTAATAGACAATTACTTTAAAATAAAAGATTATTTACTTTAAATCTTTTCTTTCAGCATGCGGAAAGGACCTACGCTGTTTGAATATTTACATTTAAAACGACACAGGCTACCATTTCATTCTAAGCATAATATAGCTCGTCAAATAGCTCAGGTAATTATAAATTTTAAATTTGTTTAATAATTTTGCTGTTTTCATGTATGAAGAAGAAGAAAAAGAATAAATATAATGATAATAAATTTTTCAAAAGAGATGATGCTTTAAAATCCAAATAAAAAATGTTCTTTTCTCTTTATTCTTTTATTAAAATAATATGATCACTAAGTCTTTAGAAATTTAAGAGCGCAGTAATGCGAAATTTTCTGGAATCTTAATACAGTGCCAGATTAAACCATGTCATCGAAAAAATTAAACCTTTTTAAATCTGTTTACACTATATTATAGTTCAGTTTAATAGGAGTATTGTCTAACATCTTTTTTAGGTTGCAGCAATGTTATATAATAATATGGTTCTACGCAGTACAGACTTTTCTGAGTAAATAGCGAAATTTTCACAAACATTTATTAATTTTACATAATTTGATAACATGCTTATTCGAGAACATATTTTTGAAAGAAAATATTGAAAATTAGGCAAAAAGAAATCTGAAGTTTTTATATCAAGGATTCACTGGTGGCTGAAATGAGTCTTTTCAAATTAAATTTGGCGATTTTATTTGCTCATATTTTAAATGACTGATCTTGGTTCTGGAGACTTGATATTTTCTTCAAACTCATTTGATTTGAATTGAAGATTTAAATTTGATTTACCAGAAGATATATATATATATATATATATATATATATATAACTTCCGTTTCAAATTGAAGTTTTAATTTGTATTTATACGTATTTGATTGATTGAGTAACTAATAGCTCTTGACTTTAATGCTATTTTTTTATTCACTGTATCACGATTTTGGTAAAAGCGTAAGCGCCGTAGCTGCATTCGTAATTGCCACAGCTGTTTTGTTATTCAAATTTACTTAAAGTTTTCTTTTTCTATACGAAAAATATAAGAGATTTGACACCATCATGTGTAGAAATATGTTATGGTAGTAGGATCAAATTAGAAAAATCGATAGTTATCTGAAAATTATGAACCTTTAAACTTGCAATAAAAAATACCACGTGGGCCACTTTGCAGCCCGCAGAATTACAACCAACTACAGAGCTAAAATTTGGTGTGCTGAAAGGATCATTTTTATGAATGGATTTAAAGGTTTTTTTCTTTCGAAATTCTAATTTGTTTGAAAGTTATTGCAATTTTAGCCTCTTTTTTGCAATTTTTCCTCACTATTTTTATTTACATAACTTTTCGTAATAAGATTTTAAAAAAAAACACACTTTTTGAAAAATGTGTTTTATTTTTTGAAAATTTGTGTTGCTAAAAATTATAAAAAAATAACTTTTCCAATTATCTTTTCACAGGGAATGGGCTATTTGCATGCAAAAGGTATAGTTCACCAGAAACTTAATTCCAAAAATATTATATTAGAATGCAGAGTCAAATTAAGCATAATGGACCATGGGATGTCAAATAAGTTGTTAGATAGGTAAGTCAAATGAGATAGTAAACATATTTTTCATGTCTATTCCGACTGTTTTTAAAATACTTTAGAGCTCTCAATTAAAAATGTAATTTTGTTTTAATGAGGTACACAAGGTAATGAGGTTTCTCGTTTATTGGAATTTACTGAAGTAGAGATTTAAATAATAATAAACCGTTTAGCTGTAGATATGATGAAACATGTTTTTTTTTTGCTGTTAGTGTTTTAAAGTTAGTAGTCAGACGTTTAACAACATGTGAAAATTTATGTTAAAGTTTCAGAATAATAAACATTTTACGTTTGAGAAATTTTCATCATTAAATGTTTAATGTTTTTTGCAAATTTTTATTGATAAAATGCAACCGTATATATGAGAACTTAAATTATAAGAACAGTTAAAGATAATAAGTTATTTGTATTAATTTAAAGTTGAAGAAAATCGTGGAAGGTTTTAGTTAAAGTAATTTAAATGAAATTTCAGTGTTTTTAAGAAAGTTAATCAGAGAATGTTTTCAAAAATCAAAAAGAAGCTACCAGATATTTTTTTTAAAAAAAACCACCATTTGAAAATATTAAATAATTATTCCTCACTTTTTGCCTACCAAATGCATTCTTAACTTCGGAAATTTGTGTTTTTAAAACAGCACTAAAAGGTTCCTATATTCAATTCGGAAATTTTATTTTTTCAACATTTTAATTTTATCTCTTAAATTATTTAAATTAAATATGTTATAATTTTTAATTATTACTGATTTACATAAAATATGTTATAGTTTCGTGTTTTTTAATGATTTTAAATAAATATGATATTTTTTAATTTTTTAATAATTTTAATAAAATATGTTTTAATCTATTTTTTATGATTTTAGTTAAACTATTATTCACATTGTTATTTTTCAATTATCATTTTAACTTAAAATACTATTATGTGTAAGGTAAACGTTATTAAGCACGCTATTTATTTAGTTTTAAAATAAAATTTTGGGTACAGAAATGAGTCCACTCTAAACGTCGCTTCTATTTTTATTCAAATTTTTTAAGGTCGTTTCTTTAATATACAACATTTTTACTGAGAGTGGTGTTTTATTTCTTTGAAGTACATATTTCTTCATTATTATTTAAACAGAAATATTTTAGTTATTTAATATAGGCATTTTCCTAAATTTGAACAAGAACTAGATATTTTTCCTTAGTTTCAATATATAAGTTCGTAAAATGTTTTGCTTTTCAGGCCTGATTATGGCTGTATATCACGTGGTCATTTGAGCTATATTAGTCCAGAGTTGATGTCTTCCTTACAGATTGAGCCACCACGTATTTACACTACAAAACCCTATACTCAAGAATCTGATATATTTGCCTTTGGGTGAGACATGTTTAAATTAGTTAAATTGTTTTACTTTATTTTAATTTTAAATTTATTATTTTCATGAATTTTTTTAAATTTTTTTATTAAATAATTTTTATGTAATAAAAATAACTTTTTCACTTTAATTTAATTTCATTTCCAAATTTAAATTTTTTTTAATTTTGAATTTTTAATTTTTTAATTTTTGATGAATTAAAACTTTTTTGTCTAAGAACTACTTCAGATTGAATCGTAGAATTTTCACTTTAATGGTTGACGTATTAATACATTTATTTTTCTGCCAAAAAATGGCATATTTTAAAGAATGTTACACAATCTGTTCCATCAATACATACTCTTAGAAATCTTGTTAAAAATTAATCAAATTAAATAAAAAAATATATCGTCGGGGTGATCTTCATTCAGGGCACAACTCAAAATCAGTGCTTACAAAAATCGGCATAGCTCAAAATGCGAGCTTACAAAAATATACACAGCTTGAAATTCGTAATATACACAGCTTAAAGAATGTTAAGCAATCTGTTCCATCAACACATACTCATAGAAATCTTGTTGAAAACTATTTTAATTAAATAAAAATAAATCGTCGGTGAGAGTTTTATTCAGGACACAACTCAAAATGCGTTTTTACCAAAATAGAAACAGCTCAAAATGCGTGCTTACAAAAGTATACATAGCTTGAAATACGTGTTAAAAAATGAAAACAGAAAAAATCGTGTTTACAAAAATGGACAAAGCTCGAAATGCTTGTTAAAAATGGACACAGAAAAATGAAGCCTTTTCAACTCGAATTTAATAACTAAAGGAAGAACTTCTTGCTTACTTTTTCTTATTTAAACACTAAGCATAATAATTACGGGGCAAAGTTCCGGACTTCGGAGTCGAGGAGGATAGTTATATTACAGTTGTTACTTGAAAACGATATCTTCGAGGTTAAAACTCTGAATGATAAAGTGAGTTTTCAAAATATAAATTACACTAAAGTAAATTTAGTAACACTATTACAAGTTTATAAGATCCATAGCAACCTTGTGAGAACTACTGTTGACTAGTAAAGTATTTCTTTTTTTTGAAAATTAATGTAATGCAATTTGCCAAACAATTTATGCAATTGGACAATATCACTTTACGAATTTATGTTAACACATTAGTTTTTGTAATTTTTTATTCATTTATTTCTTTAAAAAAAATTGCTCATAAAAGAAGTTTGAAGAACAGAATCAAATGTTAAGTTAAATTTCTTAAATAGATATGTCCATATTCTCAACCACATAGTTTGAGCAGTTTATATTTTCTTGACCATAGCTTTAGTGTGCTATGTCATTGTAGTAAAAAAGCGTTTTGAGCTGTATCCATTTTCATAAACGCGCATTTTGAGATAGTTTCTGTCTTGAAAACACGCATTTTGAGCGGTGTTCAGAATAAAAGGCTCACCGACAGTCATGTCACCATCTCTTACTTAACAAAACTATTTTCAAACCATTACCTACAACAATAATTGCGAGAAAAAAAGTGAAAAGAGCCTTTTTCTAAAATCAAAGCACAACTAAAATGATTAATAATGGTATCTATAGTTAATTAATGTCTAGTTTATCTTAAGTTTAAATAAAAAAAGTTAATAATAAATAACTAATATATTACTGAAAAAACGTTTTTCACATTTGTCTCCAATCGCCTGAAATTCTTTTCTAAACTACCTCTTTAATTCATTTCAGATCCTTATTATATGAACTACTAGCTGAGAGATTTGCTTTTCAAGAACAACCACCACATGCAGTGATTTATCAAATCTCAATCGGCAGAATTGCACCACTGCACAATTTTCGATTTATAAATGGACTAAAGGTAATTTAAACAATTACGTACTATTACCTAAAATGTTTTGTGTTTATATATAGCTTGTTCCAAGGTAACTGCAACAAATTTTAAAAGATCGAAAGTATACTAAACGTTATTCAATTATATATTACAAAATATAGCAGAAAATTCAATAAAACATGAATATTTCAAATCTTTTGTAATGTTTTGCAGCAATGCAAAACTGAACATCGCCCGCAGCAAGACATTGCTCCAGCGCATAATATAAAGTACACAACATAATACAAAGTACGGTTAACTACAGTGTACAAATAAATTTGCAATTCAAGATATGCTTAAAATATTACGATAAATTTCGAAATTGCTGATTCAGTCTTTGCGTACCAGATTGATAGAATATGTTTCTCCATGGTTGGTGACTTACCTACGGAAATATAGGGAAATGTCAAGAGTCATGAGCGGCAAATGAAAGGAGTTACTTGAATCTCTTTCTTAACGTAGCTCCCTAAAAGTCAATATTGTTACAGTATTGTCTCATTATATTTCTTTAAAATTATGTTAAAAAAATTGTCTGTTGCAGCTGCTTTAGAGTAATGTGCACATTTTGCATACTTTCTTTAAAGATTAAGTTTTAAATTTTATTCTAAATTTAACCAAAGATTAAGTACATCTTTGTGTAAATTAATTTATACATTAAAAATAATGCGATTTCTATGAATTTATATTTTATGTTGTTTATTACAAAATACAAGAGAATTTAAAATGGGAATTCATGTCAAATTTTCAAATGTGAAAACATGAATTAGTTACATTAGAATTTTAACATTTATGTTTTATTGTTGAAAGTAATACTTAACTTATTTAAAGATTTTTCTCATTATTTAATTTTATTACTGTTATCTCAATTTTTAATTTTTATTAGGATTTAATCAAACGATGTTGGTCATGGAAGACTGAAAAACGGCCTCCATTTTCAGAAATTGTACATATTTTACAAGAAAACGTAAGTAAATTTCCCAATGCTGTATAAAGCTTTAAAAAACGTAAAAAACGTATAAAAAACGTACGTATAAATAAATTATAACGTACTCTTATAATACCTTTTTAGTATTTTAGTTTAGAAATAAAAGAAATAAAGTTATAAAATAAATTTTTTTTTATTCTGTTATTTAAATAATTGCACAATCAAGTAACTTCATATAAGAGAGAGAGATAGACATTAAAAATTTTATAAAACTTTATGTATAGCAAAAAAAAATTAAAAGTTGTGTTTTGTTGAAAGCTGTTTTGTTAAGTTTTCTAATGAATTTAAATTTACTTTGATCTAGAAAAATTTATTCACAGTTATAGATGCAGTTTTATTATGGTATATACTTAAGATTTGCATTGAAAATATTCTGAATTAAATAGCTCGTATTTTTTCATTTATACACTGTTCTGTAAAACTTATAATATCTTTAGTCTATATTTCAGACAGTAAAAATTATTTGCATTTAGAGTTTGCTATATAAAGTTTGATTTGCCGTTAAATTTACTTTTTCTCTTACTTTATTTGTACTTTTACTTTATCTGTATTTTATGTTCTGCATTCGAAGTAAGTGTCTTTAAATTTGTAGATCAAGATCAAAAATTAAATCTAAGCCATTTCAAAATTAAATCTACTCTTATGGCATATAAATATAACAATTATAGAGTTTCTTACTCTACACAGTTTTATTATTTCTTCCTGAAAAATATTTAGACATGAAGCTTCTTTATTAAAGTTATTTTTAATAAATTTTCGATGTAGGCTCAGCGATTCTATTAATAATTCGTAGTAATTGTTAAATATCATATGTTTTAATTCTACAGGTTATCCAAAACTAAACTGACTTCAGGAAAACCATAATATAAATTTGTTTCAGGAAAACGGCTAAAATTTGAAAAATAACATCTTTTGTAGCAAATTCTTGCGACAAAGCTTAAACTTTTCAATCTACAGTCCTTTTATTTAGAACAAATTATTTTCAACGGATGGCGCTGCAAATAGTAGATATGTAAATTAAAGAAGTAGTAAAGAAGTAAATTAAACCCATATTAAAAATTTTCAAAATCATTCAATGATTGAAAATCTCATTACGTTACTTTTTAAATGTCCTCTATAAGCCACAAACGCATGCCGTAATCAATGAGCGAAATTTTTATACACCAAAACGCAACTAGTATCAGCTTATTACAGTGACATCTATCATATATTTTGATCTAAAATAAGGAACTTCAGGGAAAAAATTTATATCTTGTCATATAATTTTGTTCCAAGACTTTTTTTTAATTGTTTCCCTCATATAAATTTTTTAAAACCATCAGCCTAATTTAGGGCGCTTAGTACTTAAGTTGTTTAATACAAGATTTATTTCTAATGATATAAGTTCTATACCTAGATACAACTACATTACGGTTGAATATAAAAACAATTTCTTTATTTAAACTATAGAGTCAATGATTCCAACAAGGCTTAATACTGACAGCTTTTAACATATATTTTTAAAATGCATATTAATAGTATAATAAAAAATCTGTGTATATTAGTGAACGCAATATAATATTTTAAGTGAGAGAAATATAGATTTAAAATGCCATTTTTTAATAGATATCGGAAAGAGAAATAAAAGGTCGAATAAGTATAATTAGTTTTGGTGAATTTAATTTTGAAAATAAGAAGTTATACATTAAAAGTTTTTCATTTTCGCTATTTAAGTATTAGCTCGATATTCGTAACTGGTATGTGCTTTAGACATCGGCTTTTTAAACGATTCTAGAATTATACTAACCCCTTAAATTAAAAGGAAGTAACTCTGGATTTTTCGATCTCTTAAAAATTAAGTTAAGGAAATTCCTATCTGAGTACCCTGTATTTAAAAATGCACACTAATTATTAATTTATAATCTTATAGGTATCCCATCATCGAAGGCACAGTTGTTCAGAACCAGATTTATTGCATTACAGTAGCCAAGCAAGCGGACGAAGTCTTTGCACCTAGGATTATGATACACGCTATAGAACAAAACTTTGTTCTAAAGATTTCGTACCAAGATAGTGATTTCTATTAAAATATTTCATAGCGAACCTAATGAGAACAATTTTTAATCCCTCCCAACGAAAATTCTATGCAGAGCACTTTTTCCTGTGCCTATGGTCAACATTTCGCAAGGTTTATGTCAATTCCTAGCAAATGGGCCGTGATATAAAAAATTTAGTTATGCAATTCTATGAACAACATTTAAATGTCGGTTGATTTCAGGCTAGTGAGATGTATTTCCATTTATATCATTTCAACTTAATGCAAAGATCAAGATTATGTGTGTGATAAAACATTTGATTATTAGGACATGAACAAATTTGATTCTGTTAAGCTATAGTAATTTGATTTCTCGTAGTGAGGAATCTAAAGTAACAGTCATTTGAACTGGAACTCATTCTGTGCGAATATTTTGCGCAGAATGCAAATTTGTCGACGAATCTTCCATTAGCTTTAATCATACTGAAATGTACAAGATTTACTCTATACTGTACAATTTTAAAACTGTTGGACTGCAACTTGCTTTTGATTTTAATCATAATGTTTATCTGTTTTATTCAAATTGCTTCATAAGTATATATGGAAACAACTTGCAAATAATTATTGATTTCTAGAATAAATCATTTCCATGTTTGTTTTATTATGAGCCAAGATGCAACATAAATGTCAATTATTTTATTCTGTTTATTGGTGCAAAACTAGCGAAATATTTTTACGTAATTAATGTAGCGTAAAGTAATCTTAAATGCAGGTTGTTTCAATAAACTATTTTTAAAATGTGAAATAAAGTATTCATTTTGGTAAATGGGATGCAGTAAATTGAGAAAGTATGTTCGCTCTAATTTCTACATAATTTTAGCATAAGAACACTATGCTTTGTACTTTTCTTTCGAATTGTTTAAAAAACTATTTTCTTAAGAGTTTTTTTATAGTATAAAGGAATGGAACAAAGAAAATTAATTGTTCAAAAATATATGTACGCCAAAAGAAAAAAAACACTAAGTGTATAAACTTTTGATCTATTTTCTGGCACACCATATTTTCCAAATTGCAGATATATTCCCCGAAATTCGACAATTAAGATACCGAATCTGTCAGTAAAGTTTGTTGTTTCAAAGGAAGTACGTCCACTGCAAAAACTGATGGGATATCTTGAGTAACACAAAAAATTACGTGAAAAAAACACACTTTTTTTCAAGTCACCTAATTAAAGCGTTCATTTACTATTTAACGGGTCTATGGAAGCTCTAAACACCTGAAATGCTTCTACATCATATGTTAAATATTTTAATTATTATTTAATCGACACAATTAATAAATATAATTTAATAGCCTTAATTATGAAATAAATGCTGAAATTGAAATTATTTTGGAGCCATATTTTTATTTTCAATATATTCAAGATGTATTCGAAATACAAAATTTGTCATATTAACTGGATTAGTAGTTTCTTTATTTTGCTTTGATCGGAAAAAAATTAATGCAGCTATTTTTAATTAGATTAGTTACTAAGTTCTATGATTCTAGCTATTTAATTTGCAATATCGGTTCTTGAAGTGATTGTTAGTGATATTTTTGTTGCATCTTGGTATTGTTTTTTAAAATAAAGAACACTTTATACAATCCCGCTATTTATTAATGTGATCAACTTAGCTTTAAATTATATTAATTTCTGGAAAATTAAATCATAAGAAAGAAAGTATTTTAATATGTTTGATAATTTGGTGTTCTACAAGTACCTCTCTTGCCACGTACTTTGGAAATGCTTGTCAGGAATAAAACAACCCACTTTATTGAGCCTAACGCATTTTATTCTTAATAAAATACATATTAGAAAAATAAGGAATTTTAAAACTGAAGTTAAATCCAAGAGAATGTTGTCATTAAAACAAGGAAAATTAAAAGCAAAATTCTTATCTCTTATCAAAAAGATTTTGAACTCTAGCTCTAGAGCACCGCTTTTGCATTTCGTACGACAATCTAAACTGATATTAATTTCTCTTTTATAATACTTATCACAATTTATCTTTAACTATGTTACTTTGATTTCAGTTTAATCTTAAATCCTCATCTAATTAATAATTTTAGCATTATTTGCTTTTAAAAAGCATTTTTCGAAATTATTTTATTTCTGACAAGGATTTGGAAATTACACATTAAAGACGGGGGTTGGAGAACACCGTAAAAAATTATAGAATATTTTTATGTATTTTTTCCTTTTAATAGCAAAGTGAGCACATTGATTACACAAGATTAATGTACTGAATTTATTTACTTCATGTGAATATTTATTATGGACCCTTCTTCCATATAAAGAGTAAACCATTTTCCTACTATGCACGGGTCTTGCGCTTTTGAAAATTCCTGTTTTGGTGAAGAACTATATTTCATATAAAAGTATTTTTCTATGTAGCAATGCTATATTTTAGAAGACGAACAAATTACAGTTTCAACGAACTGATACGAGCAATAACATTAAACAAAAGTTGTTTGAAAATATTTCACTCTAAATGCAACCGTTTAACAGTGTCTCAAATATATGCACGGAATACTATTAGCAATTCATCGAAACAAGTACTGAAAGTTTTTGCTCCTTGAATATTTCTACTAATGGTTGTGGCCATCACTTTTTATTTAATTTATTACTGAATACAAATGATGATTTTAATTACTGTGATACACAATACCTGTGGTTGTCTTATTGGTTGATTGTGAATATGATGAAATTAAATGGTTCTTAAGAAAATTATGGCGAGTCACTAAAAAATTAATTTTCAAATATCGATCGTAAAATACATTATACACCTTTGTTTTGTATTTAAAAATACATAAAAAATGAGACTTTTAAGGAAACAAATTTGGTGTGATTTATAATATTATTACTGTTGAAACTTTCAATTGAAAAGAAAAATGTGGCTTGTCATAGTTTCATAATTAATTTCTTTTATGGCCCTTATGGTTCAGCTAATGTCTCTTGAGCTGGGCTTGATTTTTATAAAACAGTTCTTTAAAGATATTTTATTTAAATAATGCAATTATTTAAAAATTATGAGTTGTTATTGTTGGTTATGATTTTTTTTTACACCAAATGTGCATTTAGCACTTTATTTCTAACTAACTAAACTTTTCATTTTTAAGAAAATTCCTTTTTTACGTTCTTTGTTTTCAATATTTTTCTTTTATAAATGTATTAGGTTATAAAAGTATAAACGATAAATTTGTTAGAAGCATAAAAATTTAAATGAAAAAAATTCTCACTTGAGAAAGCTTTTTAAAATATTTCAGTTCCTTACACAAAATATGTAACGAACTTTATTCTATAGCATTATTATTTGGCATGTATAAAATGACATATTTAAATTTAGAAGGAGTAAAACGTTATTTTTAATATATGTTACAATGCATATTAATTTACCAATGATAAAGCAAAACATAATTTCAGTTAGGCTCTTAGGAGCCTAAACTATTAGGCAAAACCTGAAATAGACTGGGCGTTCAGTGGCCTAAATGATAAAGAAAAATATTTTTACAATTAACTTTCATATCTATTTCGGAGGTAATTTTGTTGCTAAAATCTAACTATTTAAATATTCAGTTCTATTTTAAATCAAGCCCAGGCTCTTTGTGCACATGCTATTATAGTCACACATATTTATATTTTTATTCACAGAATATTGCTTATACAAATTTTTAATATTTATCCTAGTCATTTAATAGTAAAAACTTTACATTTAAATTAATCCATGTGTGTTCAAACATCAAGCCAAAACAATGCTTAGATTAAATATTCATTGTTCGTTATGCTTCAACTTCCATGTCCTTTAAAGGCCATTGAAATTAAATTTAAAGTACTTAATCGTGATTTTAAAACATTCATAGACAACATTATGTACAGATAATAGAGAAAAAAGTTTTAAGAATTTAACATCATGCGTCATAAATACATAATAAATGATTGTAAAAAGCTAAGTAGTAATCACTTCATACAATTCTATTTATCACAAAAATAATTTCAAGAAGCATTTTATGTGTAAATTTGCTGCACATTTATTGATAGAGAGTTGCAGAAATTTAGAAGTTTGTTTCGGGATTATTGAAGTTAAAGCAAATCTAAATTTTGAATTCATATACGAAATCATGCCGAAATCCTCATAATGCAATTGCATTATTTCATTCAATGATATTGTAATTAATTGAAGGCTGTTTTTTGAAGGCTCCGTCGTAATATAAAATTCTTTTTTGCGAATAATATGTTATTTTTATTACTGTGAATTTGCAACTGTTACTTGTGACTGTTAGGTCACGTTTAGCCTATCTAAGGCCAGCGCTGTTTACGCTTATTGTGAAAATCGCGCGAGATGTCAATATGGAGAAAAGCCATAGTTTTGTGAAAATGAAAAGAGTTAGCTGTCTAAATTCTTAGCATTTAAAAACGTTTTCCAATGCTACAAGACTTGGGCTCATAAAAATTTGCAAAACAGAGAATAAGGCAGTGATTTTGATAATTTTCATCAAAGTGGAAAATACCCAAATATCCCCGAATTGGCTTATTTTTAAAAAGTTTAAAATTTTTAAATATTTAAGTTATTTGTTTTCCTAATGCCCAGATAATTCTTCACGGCAAGATTATATATATAGTTTAAAATCATCACATTGCTTCAAGTGTAAGGCCCTTAAACTATTCTTTCTATTTTCTTTTACGACAGGGATTCGAAAAACAGCTTTATAAGGAATTAATATTCAAAAATTAAAATTTTTGCTCAAATAAAATTTTTTTTAATGCATACACTGAAATGTATACGCGTTGTATGCACTTTGATGCAGTTTTAACAAAAAAGTAAACACGAAAAACTCTGATTTGATACTATTTGTTTTGTTTTCTTATTAATAAAAAATAGAGCAAAATTTTAGTGCTAAAGTTCAGAAATAATAAATATTATACAATTTAGTGAAAATGTATATCTGTACTATGTTATGTGGTTTATCAAACCTTTCATAGTTTTTGAGAATTTCAAAAAATCTCAAGGATATGCATTATTCCTCTCAACAAATGTTTTTTTTTGTTCTGAATTTATCAAATGAATGTCAGTTATGAAGTCATAAAAGATGGTTAGCAGTGGCTGACTGTTCGACAATACTCCCGATGAAATGTATTGGATTTTCATATTTTTTTGAATATTTAGGCTAAAAGTGTCACTATGGTAAAGCATTAAAATTGTTAAGTATTAAAAATGGTATAAATCAAAAAGACACCTTTCAACTAAATTTTAAGAGAAAATTTTGAGATATGATTTTTTTTACACTTTCACTGAAAGAAAAATTTGAATTCGAAATTAAAATTTAACATTAAAAAAATTAATTAAGTTCATTTATATGTATTACTAATTATGTTTTTGGTAGCAATTAAAGCTTGCACTGAACAAATAAATTCTTCAAGAGTGTGAAATACATTTTGTCTGATTTTTAAAAAATCATAATTTAAAATTGCATCGTGAAGAAATTCAATCATTTCTTTAGAATTTAAAACTAATTTGACTGAGAACTTAAACAATCCCATGACTTTTTTCAGAAATTAGATGCATTGATTTATTGAACTTTCATTGATTTTTACTAAATTTTTCGTGAGTTAAAAAACTTTCCCTCGCATTTTTAGGTTTTTCCAGATTGCTTGATCAGTAAACTTGTTAAAAAGAATGTATAATTCATGAATTTCATAAAATAAATTTTAACCTAGTATCTCAGTGTATATAAAATTAAGCACTATTTGAATTATTGTAATAAATTAATATATGCTTAGTATTAATATAAATGTCATTTTGTAACCTTATCTAATTACACACGCTTGTGCTATGTCCTATGATTTTGGATAAACTCCTATTTACATTGACCAAAGGAAAATTAAAAAAAGAAAAACAATTAACATACCAATTAATAGACTAAAGGAAAACAACGTGAATTAAGCAAATGAAAGTACATAAATGGATATATTATAGTTTCAGTTTTATAAACAAGAACCTTCCTCAGTGTCTGAATTCCAAGTGATTGTAGAAAAGTAATGAGACAAACAGATGCAAAGTGGTTTAGCCAATTAGGACAGATGAAAAAGTGTGAACAAGAAAATAAAAAGGAGATAAGAAGCAGGTGTAAGGAGATTTGGCGGGAACACCACAGTGCAACAGATTAAAAATTTTATTTTAAAAAAGGCTTCCAAACATTGAAGGATCATTAACTAAGTTATTAGAATTTTTTAAAATATAGAATGACTCCCAAAAATCGAGTTCGATGGATGAAGAACAGTGTTGAATGATTTTATAGCAGAAGAAAATTCAAAGCTGCAATTCAATTTTTCAACTATGCAAAGTTATAAGAGATTGGTTATTTTTGGACATATCCTTAGTGTTTTTTAAATCAAAGCAGTCCCTCACATCTGTTTCATGTCTCCCTTTTTTATTTTCTTATTCAAACTTGTTATTCTGTCCCTATTAGTTAAACCATTTTACACGTATTTGCCTTTTTACTTTACCATCTTTTGACGTTTAAACAGTGAGGAAGGTTCCTGTTTATGGAACTGAAACTATATTATTTCGATTTATGTACTTTCATTTGTATTTTATTTACATTGTATTTGCTTTAGTCAATATAGCACAAAGTATACTTTACCTTTTGTTGGATACCAATTAATGTTTAGGTATTTAATTTTGACTAAGGTGGTGATAATGAGACTTTCTAAAGGTGATAGTAAAAATGTATAATAAGCAGAAGGATATTTTTGTTCAAATGTTAATGAATTTTTCTAACAATTCTGTAGATATGTAGAAGTCTCGTTAGAGACTGTGGCGTCATTTAGCACTGTCTCTTCATGTAATGTTGTAAATTACTTAACGTTTTCTTTCAATAAAAATCTTCCCAATAAAAAACTTGTAGACTATTATTTAGTATCGTATTGCAAGTAAGTAATACATGTGCATAATAAAACAGCTCTAATTTCTAAATTGGTTTTGGAATGTTTGGTATAATTTAAAGTTAAATAGAAACATCAATTTGAATTTTTGTTTTATTGTAGTATTGCATTATGTTTTATTTCTATGCAATGAAAACAAGGTAATCCAATTGATCTGTTAATTATATTTGACAGGGTGTTCCAAAAAATGATCAATAATTTGATAAATTTGAAGAAAAGAAATCGAAGTATACAGCTTGATGCATTTTTCTAAGGAAACTAGAACATTTATTTAAACTTGATATAAAAATTCACTTACTAAGCCTAGCGACGTATAGCATTTCTGTTGAGGAAACTAAAAAATTTTTTTTTCTTCTTTGCTGCAGGATAGACCAAATATTATCAAAATATCTACAAGGACATTAATATTGTTTTTTGACTCTACCACACGTTTACAGATTAATTTTTAGTTTTTCTCTCCTTTCAGTTGGAAAGCTTTGCAGTTTTTATACTTGCAGAAAAATCTGTTTCCTGAGCAGAATACTGCAAACAGTACAAATTTACTTCTTTTCGCTTTTCTTTAAATGACTCTTTAAAGTGGTCATTTTTTGGATACCAGATACATCATTTTTTAAAAAATCTTTAAAACTGATTTCGGGAGATCAGAATTATAGTATTTGTACCTTGTATCATTAAAATTTAGATACGCTTATTTTATAAAACTTCATATTTACATTTTAGGCATAAACAAAACTCGAATGTTGTGCGTATGGCCTTATTTTAATAAATGACTCTCGCAGGAATTTTGGCTACAATTCTAATTATAAAATTCAGTATTCTAATTATAAAATTTCCATGAAAAGAGGCCATGAAAGATGTCATGAATTGCCATGAAAGCAATGTGTAATGTAAAAAAAAAATCCCTCTCATAAAAAGCATGTATTGTTAAAAAATAAAAAATTCGAAATAAGTAAATGTAATTTAGAAGTAGAAAATTTGGAAGTAATTAATACGCTTAGAATCGATTAACTATTTTAAACTCGATATTCTAAAGTTTTTTCTTTTTGAAAAAAAAAGAAACGATTGAATATAAAGAGTACAGCACCATTTAAAGATCCAATATAAAAATTTGTATTGTATGTATCTTGCTCTTTACGTAATTTTGTATTTAACGGAACTTTTTTTAATCATCTTAATTTCAAGCATTCTTTACTTTTGTCCCCAGCTCTCATCAAAAAACCTTTCATTAGATGGCATTGCTTGAGCGAGAAAAAAAAATTTTTCCTCCTCAAAAACTTCTAAGTTAGTTGTAATTGTGATTAAGATGAGTCTTGCTACAATTAACTGTTAATAACATTCATCACTTTATAAATAAATGAAATTTATATATCATCTTTTACGATATTAACCAACTTTTTTAGATATTGTAGAATAGCAATATTAAATGTTTACTCACATTTAATGGGATGTTTACGTAATACCCTAGATTTCATCGCGATACTTTATAGCTGACGAAAACAAATACGGTGGTCCTCAAAAAGGTACTTGGTCTTATCTTCAATTTGTAATGAAATTAAGAAACAAGAATAGTTTCGATTGAAAACTCTTTGGTGTCCGAACATGAACCATAATTGAGAGTTTTCTTATTTATTTTAAATTCGAAATTTAGTTTGATTGAATAGTGGAACCTATCTTTTTTGTGGATCGCCGTCTTTTTACCTTATCTTTAATTTGTATCGATATTCGGAAACAAGAATGTATTAGATTGAACAACTTTATTGCTTAACTTCCGTGATATTTTTCAAACTTTAATTAAAGTAAATATTTGACCAGGGCTATAATTATAAAGTAAAAATTGCCTTGAAATAAATATTTAAACAAACCTACAATAAAAATGAAGGAAAAAAGATTTCCAGTAAGTACATAACGATTTTACTTAATATAGAAAATATAAATAAACAAAATTGTAACAATTTATTAACTAATGTAAATACATATAGTAAATGAGACGTCATAATGAGTGTCAAATAAAAATTTAACAAAATAGCAATCTTCTTAAATAGTAAACTTGTTGAATTTAAAAATTAATAAATATAATCTATACAAAATCTTTCTATAAAGTATAGAACTTACTTGCCTTTTAATAATAAAAGCAGTAATTAATATGTTTAGAAAATGCAGTTAATTATAATTACTGACAATGCATTTTTAGTAATTTTATAAAATCGAGAGACTTTCATCTTATATATTATAAATGACATACTTATTATTAAATTATTACACCATGGTTGAATAATTTGAGGTCTTAATAAAAGTATCTACTTGTATCATAAAATGTTATAATATGTTATACATGTCAATGGCATGTAACTTGTTGGAAATAATTTGGCATTTAATGATTTACCTATGATGACTAGGGCTGGCCATCTAGCTATAAATTGCAAATATCGATTTAACGTATACATCGTTACGCCGATATAGTGCTTTTCGCGATACATATGAACTCTGACTTAAGCCGCTGATATAAGAAGGCCCTCGCGATGTAAAGATTAAGCATACGAGGATCCTTGCTCACTCTACAGCTGTTAGCTCTCTAACTAAGACGATTTCGATTTCGTTTAGCTACTAAGACGATGTTCGTTTCGTAATTTTGAATGGCCTACAGCGAAGTCTTTGTTTCATGCACGGATCAACATCAGAATGTAGAACGCAACGTATTTTATTTCTTTTTGCATCTTTATTTATTTTCACATATTTTACATAGCTTTTTGAAAATTATTTTCAATAGTGCTATTACTTTGCCATCTCTGTGTATTATTTCGTGGCATTTTTTTTTAAATCAAGATTTATCAACGTTTCTTGAAGATTATTTTTAGTAAGACTTGCAGGGTTTTAATTAAAAAATCATTTGATGTATCTTTATTTAAGTGCATTTCGTTAATTTTCAAAAAAAAATTTCGTAATATTTTTTCCTAAATTTTTCAATGCATGCAGGTTAAAATTTTTTTCAAAAGAATTTATCATTAATTTTAATTCTACAGATTTTTTGATTTTTTTTCTCGAAAAAAAATGAAACAAAGCGTTATTTTTTTTAAGAGCTTGGCTATCAGTTTAAATGACATTTTTTTTATTAAATAAAAATATGAGCGATGTTTTAATGTTTTAAAAGTATCGTAAAAGTATTTTGACAATAGTACCGTCAATTTTATTATTTTTTATTTTTTTAAATTTTCTTTCAATGTATGTTAGTTAAATATTTTGACAGCAATTCAGTATTATTCTTAAACTAAATTTTAAGTCAATTTTGTTTCTTAAAAAAATAATAAATAAATGAAACAAAGTCTACATTTATTTTTACACTTATTAAGTGTAGATTAGTAAATTCAACTTCATTATTTCTAATAAATAAATAAAAAGTGTCTAGAGTTGCTTTAAAAGCTCTTTTTTGTCCCCAAATCATTTAAAACTTTCACTTAAGTGCATAATTACATTTCTTTTACTTTTTACTCATATTCCTTTATTTTTTAAAAATTTCATTTTACAATGCATGTAAGAAAAATACTTTAATAGAACTTTGTATTTTTTGACCAATAAATCTCAAGTAGTTTTTAATTAAATCTTATTGTTTAATTGAGCTTATTATTATTTTGAGAATTCCTTCCTAAGTCAATGCATCTTTATTTTTTTTAAATAAAAAATTAAACGATGTTACTGATGCTATAAAAGCATTTTTTTATAACTACCAGTTTCTATTGTCAAAGGTTTATTTCTTTTGTTTATTTTATACTGATTGTGTAGTTTTGATTCAAAGGAAAATATATGATACATCACGATGTTCAACAAATATAATACGATATAAAATTTCTTACGTCGTCCATTCGTAATGAAAACCAAGCTTTTAAATGAGTGACGTAATTGCTTCAATGAGTCTCGTTTCGTCAATATTTCTTAAAACTATTCTGCGAAGTTGCGAGTATGTGACATTTCTTAGTTATTATATATTGAATGGACCAATTAAACTTAGAAATTACTAACAGAACTGTTATTTTAGATTAGCCTTTTTTTATTTATTAACAATTCATAAAGTTTAAGAGTTGTTGGATATGTCACATAATCTTGGTTCAAATCATATTTAAATGCTGATATTTGCTCTTTATAAGTTAAGCAAAGAAAAAAAGATTTTTTACTAAATAATAATAGTACAAATAGAACACTAAATGGTTGCTTATGAATCTTTAAATAATTTGCCACCTTCAGAGACAGTTTCATGTTACAACATACCAGAAGTATAAAACAAGTATCTCAGACAATTAACACTAATAACTTATTAAATAACACAAGTAACTCAGCAATCTTTATTTGGACCATATTTCTTGATTAAATCCTTCCTTATTGTTGAAATTAATTTGTTATTTTGAACACTATACTTGTCTCTGAATTTTTCCTCAGAGGCATTGTAGATGCTGATTCCCGGAGAGTGAACTAAAAACGCATTTTCTATTATGTGAAAGTTGTAATCCATGAGGCACATTTCAAAGGCCTGAAAAAAATAAATTTAAGAATTCTAGCTTTCAGTACACAGTATGTAAATAATGTATGCATTGTTGATCGGGCTTTGCTGTTAACGCGTAAACAGTCAAAGCATCAAAAGCGCAAACAGCCAAAGCATCAAAAGCGCAAACAGCCAAAGCATCAAAAGCGCAATCAGTCAAAGCATTAAACGCGAAATTTTTTCAATGCGATTACACAGGAAACATAGCAATTCAAAAAATGGCTAACTTACGTCGAAAAACCGAGCACATCTCATACTATGCATACATGTTATATTTTATTTTATAACCGTCGTTGAACAGCCGACCCAATTTCATGGGTTTACGACTACTTAAGTTCAACTCCGTAGCCTTGTAATTTTGAACCAATCCAGAAGACAAGGAAACTCCTGGATCAGTACCCCCAGAGGTATTGATTTGTTGTGGGAACATGGAGGACTTTGAGACTCGACAGATTTAACGTGCATCAGTCACCATTTACTACACGGGGAGTCTTCGGCCGGCGAGGATCGAACCCACGACCTCTTGGATATGGGCCCAGCGCCCTACCGACCAGGCTGTCCCGGCCCCGCATACATGTTATAGTGACTAATTGCATGCATATGTTACAGTGACAAAAAATATATAGAAATCGCTTCCAGTAATATACAGAAGAATGCATATAGAAACGGCCCCCCCCATTCACAATTACTTCATTACCCAACCCAAGATATAAAGTAATTCCCGGTCCCACCAATAAAATTTAAATTTAAATTTTATAATTTTACTTTATTTTGGCCCGATATTTTAAAAAAGTGATTTGAAAAAAGGACTTAAGTTGATTTAAAAAAAAGAACAAAAAATATTTCATATTTGATATTATTTCTGAAATCTTGAAAAGCTACACATTCAAAGAGAAGAAATGAGCGTAAATGTAGGTTTTCACAGCAAAAATATCACCTTAATGTATATATTACTGATTATTATCTTTTTTTTTTAATGGAGTAATGACTCTAAATGTTATTCAATTTCTTTATTAGTGACAGTCAAGAATTGTGAAACCAAATTATAAAATTAACGGGTTTAAACTGTAACGAAAGCTTAAAAATATGTGTTTTATTTTTCTAATTTTAATTATTTTTGATTTAATTAATTTTGATTTATTTTCTGATTTACTAATTTTTGCGTATGTAAATATTAATGTAAAGTAAAATGGCTTTCAAAAAAAATATAAACTGAACATTTAATATTTCTGAAACATGCAATGCAACAAGTTAAATGAAGTAATGCAAGCAAATGCAGGTGAGTATAATGTATGCAGTAGTACACAAAAGATTAAAAATACAAAAGATTAAACATTAAACAAAAGATTAAAAGTTAAATGAAATGGAACGACGTTACTATTTATTGAGGCTGCAGCCGGGTGTAGTTATGCTGCGATAAATTGCTATTGTTCGCAGTACAGTGTGCAATTGCTCTGGGTTTCAAAGGAGAAAATTATTTACCTTTGTAAGTAAGTAAATACTACTTGAATGATAGCTAATGAAGCGTGTCAGCATTATTCTTTTGTCATTTAACGGATTGAAGATCAAAGGAGCATTAAGGTTTACGCTGTGATAATCAAGAAAGTGTTTCAGTGATCATATGTCATATTAATCAAGGCAAGGTATTGGCTCTTTGTTTTCATCTAATCTAGTGAGATCAGATTAAAAGGAAATCTATATCACCGGAATATAGGAGTAAAATAACAACTAATCATATAAATTAAGTAACAATACCCTATATATCTCAATTATGATATACCCTATTATTTCAAGTAAAAGTGTAGGTGTATATCTATAACCTTATCTGATAAGATCTTATTTGTTTTTAAATCTATGTCATCAATGTAAAGAAGCGCAAACCCCTTTGAAATACCATTGTCCCTTATATTATATATTTTTTTAGGCGATCTATTTACAATCGAAAATATATTTTAGTATTTTTTAACTGTAAGAAACAGTCTAATAGGTACAAAAAAAATCTGTTAGACTATGGGAATTTTATTTGAGCAAAAATAAAAAAGTTTCAAAAATTATTTTTTTAATCAAATTCAAAAGTTTATCAATAATTGATTTTGTAAATTAAAGTAATTTCTATGATGAATAACTGCTTCTCACAGATCTAAATAACTTCAAATAAGTGAAAATTTGAAAAAAAATTTATTATTGCTTTGAAGTGAACCGCGTTTGAAAGATTTAATCTTTAACGCAGAAAAAAATGCCGGTGTTTCATGCTGTATTTCATAACCATAAGTTATTAATATGCTAAACTAAATTATGAACGGAAAATTTGAAAAAAAATTTATTATTGCTTTGAAGTGAACCGCGTTTGAAAGATTTAATCTTTAACGCAGAAAAAAATACCGGTGTTTCATGCTGTATTTCATAACCATAAGTTATTAATATGCTAAACTAAATTATGAACGGAAAATTTGAAAAAAAATTTATTATNATCAAAAGCGCAAACAGACAAAGCATCAAAAGCGCAAACAGACAAAGCATCAAAAGCGCAAACAGACAAAGCATCAAAAGCGCAAACAGACAAAGCATCAAAAGCGCAAACAGACAAAGCATCAAAAGCGCAAACAGACAAAGCATCAAAAGCGCAAACAGACAAAGCATCAAAAGCGCAAACAGACAAAGCATCAAAAGCGCAAACAGCCAAGGCATCAAAAGCGCAAACAGACAAAGCATCAAAAGCGCAAACAGGCAAAGCATCAAAAGCGCAAACAGGCAAAGCATCAAAAGCGCAAACAGACAAAGTTGTGGAAATAAGTAATTTCCAGTTATAAACTTTATTGTTTTAGTCTTTTGCAGATTCGTCTCCGGGATGGAAGTGAAGGGAAGTCAAGTAATAATCAATGTGACGTAAGACATCGTGTTCTATAAAAGAACGAACAATTCTTTTCATGATGGATGAACAGTCCGCCCTTCATTTGAGTCTTTGGCCAATGGCCTGATATCCGTCATAGGATTAAGATCATGGATGATGATTCTTTATATATTTGTTCAACATTACGATTTTTAGATTTAAGTTAAACATTTAAAGTATTAATAAATGTGTTCTCCAGTTTACGTGTGTTATCATCTTCTTTAGCGTACTCTGCTTTGTGAGTTAAGCCCACAGTATCAAAAGCGCAAACAGACAAAGCATCCAAAGCGCAAACAGCCAAACCATCAAAAGCGCTAACAGACAAAGTATCAAACTCGCTAACAGACAAAGCATCAAACGCGCTAACAGACAAAGCATCAAACGCGCTAACAGACAAAGCATCAAACGTGCAATCAGTCGATGCATCAAACACGAAATTTTTTCAATGCAATTACACAGGGAATATAGCAATTCAAAAAACGGCTAACTTACGTCGAAAAACTGAACACGTCTCATACTATGCATGCATGTTATAGTGACTAATTGCATGCATATGTTACAATGACTAAAAATATATAGAAATCGCTTCCAATAATATACAGAAGGATATTGCATATAGAAACGCCCCCCCCCCCCACAATTACTTCCTAACCTAACCCCAAGATATAAAGTAATTCCCGGTCACTCCAATAAAATTTAAAATTAAATTTTATAATTTTACTATATTTTGGCCCGATGTTTTAAAAAAAGTGATTTGAAAAAAGGGCTTAAGTTGCTTTAAAGAAAAAAGAGTAAAAAATATTTCATATTTGATATTGTTTCTAAAATCTTGACACATTCAAAAAGAAATAATGCGCGTAAATGTTTACACAACAAAAATATCACCTTAATGTATATATTCTAAGTACAAATTGCAGATTATTATCTATTTTTTTAATGGAGTTAAGACTCTAAATGTTATTCAATTCTCTTATTAATGACAGTCAAGAATTGTGAAACGAAATTAAAAAATTAACGGGTTTAAACTGTAAGGAAAGCTTAAAAAAATAAGTTTTATTTTTCTAATTTTAATTATCTTTGATTTATTTATTTTCTAATTTTGATTTATTTTCTGATTTAATAATTTTTGCTTATGTAAATATATATGTAAAGTAAAATGGTTTTAAAGAAAATATAAACTAAACATTTAATATTATTTCTGAAACATGTAATGCAACAAGTTAAATGAAGTAATGTTAGCAAATGCAGGTGAATATAATGTATGCAGTAGTATACAAAAGATTAAACATTAAACAAAAGATTAAAAGTTAAATGAAATGGAACGACGTTACTATTTATTGAGGCTGCAGCCGGGTGCAGTTATGCTGCGACAAATTGCTATAGATCGCAGTATAGTATGCAATTGCTCTGGGTTTCAAACGAGAAAATTATTTACCATTGTAAATAAGTAAATACTACTTGAATGATAGCTAATGAAGCGTATCAGCATTATTCTTTTGTCATTTAACGGATTGAAGATCAAAAGGGCATTAAGGCTTACGCTGTGATAATCAAGAACGTGTTTCAGTGATCATATGTCATATTAATCAAGGCAAGGAATTGGCTTTTTGTTTTCATCTAATCTAATGAGATCAGATTAAAAGGAAATCTATAACACCGGAATATATGAGTAAAATAATTAATCATAAAAATTAAGTAATAATACCCTATATATCTCAATTATGATATACCTTATTATTTCAAGTAAAAGTGTAGGCGTATACTTATTACCTAATCTGATAAGATCTTATTTGTTTTTAAATCTATGTCATCAATGTAAAGAAACGCAAACCTCTTTGAAGTACCGTTGTCAATTTTATTAAAGTTTTTTAGACGTTCTATTTACAATCGAAAATATATTTTAGTACTTTTTAACTATAAGAAACAGTCTAATAGTTATTAAAAAAATCTGTTTGATTATGGGAATTTTATTTGAGCAAAAATTAAAAATAAAAATTTCAGAAAGTTATTTTTTCAATCAAATTCTAAAATTTATCAATAATTGATTTTGTAAATTAAAGTAATTTCTACGATGAATAACTGCTTCTCACAGATCTAAATAACTGCAAATAAGTGAAAATTTGAAAAAAAATTATTGCCTTGAAGTGAGCCGTGTTTGAAAGATTTAATCTTCAACGCAGAAAAAAATACTGGTGTTTCATGCTGTATTTCATAACCATTATGTATTAAAATCCTAAACTAAATTATACTTCGGATTGAGATCCTTACTGAGTAACTTTTCATATTACTTTTGTTATTTTCTTTTAAATAATTAAAACAAAAATACGTTACAAACTTATATGTGGGATGATACTTATAGATTTAAGCCAGTTACACAAAATGTAATGCACTTGAATTTAGTTTGTTTTGTTAATTGCCTGAGATCAGACATGATCTATTAGAATGAAAGATACTTACAACTTGCATTTTGTTCTGTCTCCCCTCCCAGGACAAGCGTATATCGAATTCGGGATCATCTCGAGTTCCAATGAAGAACGGCTCCCAAACATGGAGTTGGTATTTCTTGCTACGTTTAACCGTTGTCCATACTTTCAAAGCCTCCAAAGATTCCGTAACTTCAGACTGGTAAGATTCCTTAAAATAAGTGGACAAAAAATTAAATAACTGATTAGATTAACTGCCGTTGAAAAACGAAAATTAGTTAAGATTTAACAGCATTCAACTAATGAATAAATAATCCCGAAAAACTGATATTACCCGATTAAAAACTTCCTTTCAAAATCATGCAAAATGAAAGCAATAAGAAAAAAAAATGAAAATGCAATTGGGGCTAATTTTCAAGCTTTACTAGACTTAAATGAGAAGAAATAAAAGTGATTTGAAATATAAATGTCAAATTGCCAACAAAGTAGAGATAAAAAAATATGAAAAACAGAACAAAAAAACCCCTAGTGACAACGAGAGGTAAATCAGAGTAAAATGCATTTTCCATGCACTATGGAGAGCTTGTGAGGAACTAACAAGAACTGTCGTTAACGAGGGAATCAGCCTTCAAATAAATAAAAAAAGATTCCAGGTAATCAAGACGAGCTAATGTGACTGAGGCAAAGCAATTTTGGCATTGTCGAAGTGGAATTTATGCCAAAGATTTAAAAAATGTGCAGCTATTGATGATTTCTCGTCTTCTTGATAACGGACATTAAGATTAACTATTTTTGTATGTTTTTCAAGAGAATAAAGTTTTAAATCAAGTAACATTCAACTGTACTAGATTCTTAAAAGAGAGTTTCTCTTGAGGATCAAACAGGGTTGGAGATAGGGGGTTGAAACAGGATTGAAAATTTTTTTACAAGAATATCTTCTTTATGTAAAACTATTATTATTTTCTTTATTTTTTCGCAAACAACTTTTTCTTTAAACTTCTTTTGGATGGGGAGAGGGGTTCAAAAATAATCTGCTGTCTTAAGAACGTATCGAATTAAATGAAGCGATACTTTTTGTTCCAAGAGTGAATCACGGAAATTGTATTTATTTTGTGTACTTGCTCACTAACTATAAGCTTTGATATAAATATTTATAGTTGGCATTTGGAATGAAGATTATTTAAAATTCCATGAAATAAGGCTTTCTTATATTTTGACATTTAGTATGTATATATACCTGTGCTAACTGAACCGCAAAGTATATTTCAGTGCAAAAAACCGGTTCATTACTAATGAGAATTATCTAAAAATAAAGATGTGTATGGTGAACTTTCGATGCCCCTTTAAACTGATTTTAAACTTGAGAAAAATAAAAATTTTGCACAAGTTTCATAGTCGCTAACTGTCTCAGCCAAAAGGGAACAGAATAATTTTTATGCCTGAATCAAGAATTCTTGGTTTAGATGTCAAAAGAATCAGCAAGGAATTGCATAAATTGAGCAAAACACAAAAACCGTGCAGTTATATTTTTTAAAGGTACATGAAAATAAAAAATGCTGTACCGTTACTATAATGAAACCTTCAAAAAAAAAAACACAAAAATATGCTTATTTTATCTACCGCTAGAATAATCTAATCCTTTAATGGGAATAAATATATCTTACCTCATTGTTTATCCATTGTGTAAGGTTGGGTATTTTATGGCAGATATTACATCTATACTGATGAAAGGAAATAGCTTGCTTTTTTGCAAACATAGTTTTCAGTTCACCTTTCGTTATTGGAGCTCTGTATTTTGAAAAAACTTCAAAAACTGGTAATACCCAAACATGCAAACCCTCTGAAAGATTAATACTGTGGAGCATTCTTTCAAATTTAGGCAAAATACCAGCACTTGGATAGAGTTCTATATCTATTGGAAACACATACGGTGTATTGGTTTTTGCCCTCGCTAAATTTCGTCCAACATTGATTGGATAGATACCGTCAGACCTAAAAAAATGCAATAGGAAGAAAATCAATTAATATTTACTTTTTCAATATTAAGCACTTACTAAATGCACACTGCACCAAAAAAGGACAACCCTGAATAACCTTTGATCTAATCTCTGTTCTATTCACGTTCTAAGACTTAATCCTAATGGTCCATGGGGGTGGTCTCAAATATGCTAGTTAATCAGTACCAACGATATTTTAAGTTACGGAATCAGATACTAAAGCGCATTTGATCTGAATAAGCAAGAAGATTTTTGACACAGATTCGGATTTCTGCCCCCCAAAATACTGGCCGCAATCAGGAAAATATGGTCCCCATAGTTTGGTCAGGAGAGTGACCCAAAGTTTGGATCCCTTAATGTTTTATTTTTTACGTATTTCGTCGTATATCGAGAACTTTTTTAGCGAATTGAAAAATTTTTTGCTTATAATTATAAAATGCGTTTATCCAAAGATTATGCAAAAAATAAATTTTAGTGAATTCTTATTATTTTATTACATAATAGTCGAAAAAATTTTGAATTGTGAGGCATGCAAATTTTTTTGTCATTTTAAACTATGCGATTTTACATGGCAAAATAGCGATGTTTGATGTACGACTTCTTTGAAATTAGATTTCTCGTGAACTATTCAACCGATTTCACTCAAATTTTGTATTTACCGTAATTTATTTTTTTGCATGGATTTATCTTTGGATAAACTTAATAATTTTAATATTTTGTGCAAAAATTTCAATTCGCTCAAAAAATTCGTAATATATTAAATATGCAAAAAGTAAAATTAGCATTAAGGAGCGCCAACTTTGGATAGCTCTTTTGACCAAACTGCGGGGACCATATTTCCCAGATTGAGGCTACACCCTACGCTTTGAGGGTCAGAAATCTGAGTATGTCGTAGAAAAAGGTATGTTTATTCAGAGAAATACATTTTCTTGTCAGATTTCGTAACTAAAAATATCGTCCGTACATTTTAAACTCTTATTATTAGCATATTTTAAGTCGAAGAAAAGGTAACCCCCTCAAACTATTAAGATTGAATCCTCAAGCTTGAAGATCTGATCAAAGATTGATTAGATCAAAGGTTATTCAGGGGGATAAAAATTTTTTTGGAGCACTGTACACTCAAAGCAAATAAAAAATTAACAAAACTACCATTAAAAGCTTAATTTAAGGCTATTTATAACGATCTATTTTGATCGTTAAACTTCAATGCTCTCACAAAACATAAAATTTTGTTTACCGATAATTGAATTTTCAATTTATATTTTGCTACAACTTCGGAAGATCATTTTTTGAAACTAGGAAAAGTTGACAGGTATGCAACTTTTTTTAGTAGTTCCAACGAGAAAAATAAACGCTAACTTAAATAAATGCGATTTCATTTTTAAAAAAAATCTACCGCTGCCAGATTTTTAATTTTCTTAAAAGATATTTTAAGCAATAAAATATGGAGTTTAAAACTAATTATTTTTCAAAAGCAATATTTTCTGAATAAATTACAAAAGATTTGTAACAATAAGATTTGTTTCTCTCTCTATATATAACATATACATTGAATTTCATTTAGAATATCTCCATAAAAATATCTTTCAATTTACATAAAGCAAATAAAATGTTTCTGAAGAAATAACAAATAAAACATGTTTTCTTGAAATAATAGCACACCTGCTCTTTTTACAAAAACATTATCTCCATTTCAATGCATCAAAGTAAAATGTACTTGGAAAAAATTAGTTTTGAATGCACAAGCTTAATTTATTAACAAAATTTAAAACTACTAAATTGTAATCTTTATGGTTTAAGAGATTCACCTTATAGGTGCTCAAGAAATAAGTGATAAAAATGATGTACAGTACAGAAGAAAAAACGAACTACCCAGAATAACTTTTGATCTAATAATCAGAACTTCAAGTTCTAGGACTCATTCTTACTGGTTTAAGGGATAGACCTCAAATATGTTAATTAGAGCAGAGCAGATGTTATTTTAAGTTACAAAATAAGGCATTAAAGTAGTTTCTTTGAAAAAATATGCCCTTTTTCATGGATTCGGCTTTTTGACCCTTAGAGTATAGGTCAAAAACCCAAAATCGTAAAGAAAGGTATATGAATCATTAAGATTAAAAGAACGTGAAGATCTGATCATTAGATCCAAAGTTATTCTGGGTGGTTTTTCCTTTGCGCATTGTACTCTGTAAACATATAGCGAGCCGCAAATATTATTACGCTTGTCATTCACGAGATTAACTCTCAGTGAGACCTGAGCTGATCTTGTGATAACTAAGCAATACTTGCACTGTATTTCTCCATTTCTCGTTTTCTTCTTAATTTCCTGGATTGGATTGAATGTTAAATTTAATACTAGTTTGCTGCACTGCACAAAATGTAAATGTCATTGCCTGTTTCAGGTAATCTCATCAAACTGATGCTGACTAAGCATAAGATATCCTGGAGATTATTGGAGTACATCGCAGGAGCATTTAAAAGAGAAAATTGCCCGGAAGAGTATTAACTCCAAGGAAAGTTTACCAAGAAAAAGAACTACGTCATACACTGTGAAATTGTGAACTCAAATTTCATGAAATTTTCACAGTTTTTTGCAAAACAGTTTCCTGGGATATGCACTGAGCAAGCGTTTCGTCAAAGTGACGAAATGACAATCGCCCATTCTTTGAAAAAGAGAATTTCATCAAAAATATTTAATCATTATTTTTCAAAAATTAGAAAATAAATAATATCTTTACGGATTCGTGGCGTCTCATAGTATCTAACGAGCGACAATGTTGATAACTTTTTCGCGGGCTCCACATAAGCGGATCAACGTTGCTCCAACAATCCTGTTAGGATAGATGGAGCAGAGAGATTAATTACATCCATGCCCGAAGTGGGTTTTGAACCAGATATCTTCCTGGTATGAGGCCCACAATGATCACAATACAGCCGATCGTCTTCACTCTAGTTAACAATCGACCACAACGCACTGCGATGTGGTTCTGAGTAGAGGAAATATTTTCGTCATATACTTCAGAGTTCGCGTTTTGTCACAAATTACGTGATTTCGTCACGAAATGATTCTCAAAACTATTGAAATACAGCTCAAGAAGCGCTGAATCGAGTTTTATTTCTGAGAGTGCAGGCATTAAACGCTTTTGTACTTATATTATATGTAAATTATACATAATGTAATGCATGCGATATTTAGTGAAATTTGTGTATATTTTATGCCTATTTTGAATTTATGAATATTTTAGGTCTATATTTTGAATGCATGAATATTTTATGTCAATATTTTGAAATTATGCATATTTTTTTTAAAATTTAAAAACTAGAAGGATTACGCTAAAATCAATTGCAAAAGAAAATTAGAAAAATTATGTTTTACTGAAGTGATTAGTTTAAAGCAATCTCATTTTACTTTTAATTTCCTTCAAGTGATTCTGAAAAATCAGATTCTCTTTTACATTTAAATTTTTTACCAAATGCAGATTTTTTCTTTTCTAAAAATACTCAAGAAAACAGAGCAAATAAAAGTTTGCATTGACAAACACCTTTACATTCCTAGGAAATGTCATTTTTAAATTAAATGGTAACTCGTTACGTTTTAAAAATTTTTTTAAAAAAATATAAAGTGCAGTTTTAATCACAAAATAAGGTACCAGACCTTTTACCAAAATAAAGAATCCGTTCATTTAATTTTCCTTTTCCAAAGGATTTATATTTATACAAATAAAAAAAATTCAGGTAAAAATTTCATAATCATTCAAGAACTTTGAAGAAGCTTTATTTCTAAAGATTTGAGTTAAAAATGCTTTTTACCCCTCATGAGAAATTTCTTAAAAGTAAAAAGAGTCATAACTGAAATCAAACATGTCATTTAAAAGCACGTCGGTCAAAATACATAAGTAAAAATGTCACATGTTATAACTTATTACCTTCGCTTTTTTGTCTTTTGGTCTTGGGTGAGAAATTTACAGTCCTTGGGGATTTCCGTGTCCATGTACGAAGGCATAGGGACATTGTAGTGAAAGAAATGCCACGACACCCAGCGTCGAATACAAAAATCACAATCCCTGAGCCTGTCGGCAACTTGTCTTGCTGCAGAATAATCGTCTGGTGGGGTGAATACAGCTACAGATATGGGACCAGCCCATCTTCGGCAAAGTACTACGACATGATGGAGGTACTCAACTGTGCCTTGCGTTGTTAATGTTACAGATGCGTCTTCTTCTGTGGCTCTAGTAAATATAGAGATCCGAATTAGTGAAATGATTTTTAAATAAACCAAAGAAAAATTATTTTTATTAGAAAATTGTTGTGTCTAAACCTAATGTGTTCCACAAATGAACGAGAGCTTGAAAAATAAAATGAAGCAAAACTAGAGTGTGTTCTGCTTAAAAACAAGATTTTGTTATCAGCAGGTTTCAGAATTTGCTTCAAATTTCGTCAACAGATGGTGTTGAAACATAAACCTATAAAACAATGCTAAAAGACACCGGTGGAAATATTTCAGTTGGAGCGGTCTGAGATGCTATAGGAAAACTTTATCATTTTACCAGGAAATCGAGACGAAAGAATCGTTAAACTTGGTAACTGCTTTTGAAACTCGGTGAAAATACTTAATCTGATTTCCTAGGCAGAATGAAGCAAACTGCGCATCATTTGTTTTTCATGAGTTGATTTTTTTATATGGTACACTTGGTCTCATGAACAGTGCCCAAAAAATGGACCACCTTGAATAACTTTTGATCTAATGATTGAATCTTCAAGTCTTCTTATCGAGAACTCAATCTTAACGTTGAAAAGGTAGCCTCAAATATGCTAATTAATTTCTGCCTATCATATTTTAAGTTGCAAATTCAGATACAAAAACGTACTTTTTCTGAATAAACCATGTCTTTCTTTCAAAGAATTCGGATTTTTGACTCCCAAAATATCGATAGTAGCCAGGGAATATGGTGGGCCTCTTAGTTTGGTCAGCAAAGTGGTCTGAAGCTTCGATCCCTTAATGTTAAGTTTACATTTGACATACTTCGTCATATCTCGAGAACTTTTTAAATAAATTGAAAAATGCTAGCTCACAATTCTAAAATTAGTTTATCGAAAGATAATCCAAAGCAAAAAACAACATTTAATAAATATCCTATTTTTCATTTCATTATATAACATTTTAAGATTTATAAAGTATGCAATTTATAAAGTATACAATTTATTAAATCATTTTAAAGAATGGGATGTTACTTGGCAAAAAACAAAATTTGAGCAAAATTAGTCGAATAGTTGCTGAAAAATCAATTTTAAAAAATACATTTTTAAAATTCGATTTCTTAGGAATTATTCGACTGATTTAGTTTGCCATGCAAAATTACGTTCTTCAAAATGATGTAAAAAATTTTATACCATACAATCAAAAACTTTTCGAACATTATTAAAGAATAAATTATAATAAATATTTACAGAAAGTTATTTTTTGCATGAAATTGGATAAACAAATTTCATAATTTTGTGCAAAATTTTTTCCATTCACTTAAAAAAATCTCAAGATATGGTGAATTACGTAAAAAGTTAAATTAGCATTAAGAGATCCAAACCTTGGACCGCTCTCTTGTCGCAACTGTTGGGATCATGTTTCCCAGATTGCTGCTATATTTTGGGAGTCAGAGATCCAAATCAAAACAAAAAATCCATGTTTATTTAGAGAAAATACGTTTTTGTGTCTGATTTCGTAACTTATATATATCGTCTGGTCTATATATTTAAATATTTGAGGTCACCCCTTTGAATCATTAAGATTAAGCCCTGAAATTAAAATCTGCAAACTAGATGAAAAGTCATTCAAAAGTCAAAGTGGTCAGTTTTTTTCCTTCACTTTGTACCTCATAATACAAAATATATGGTAAAAAATTTTAAAAATATGTTAGAATCCATGCAAAAAAATGAACTAAGCGTGAAAAATCATAATTAAATTTTTTTTTAAAAATTTTTAAATTATAAAAATAATATTTTTAAACTGTAACCGTTCCTTTTTGATGTTGAGAATAGCAACGAAGAAAGTCAAATAACCAATGACCCGCTTGTTTGTACTACATTCATCTTTCACTAGGAACTTCGTTTATGCTATATTCGCAAGTAGTCGAAATTATATGCTCCAAATAACAATTAATTATTAAAAGTTATCCTTAATGCTGCTATAAGCCGGTTTAACAAGACCATATCGGTAGTATTGTTTGTACCAAAACAACGTAAAATTAGTACTTGTAGTAAAACAACGTCAAATTAGTACTTACAATTACTTGTTACAACTTTAAATAATGCATCTACAAACTTTTCCTAGGTAACTCTGCAGGTATTTATATAAACTCAAAACATTCTTTAAAAAACAACAACTTATTTTTGAAAATTTTATTTTAACTAAAAAATGCGATACCAATATTTTCTATCCAAGTATTGTAAACTACATCATAAAAGTACAAAACTTACTAAAATTTAGCTTATTTGTGACATGTTCTTCAAAAGTTTTTTGTATACTAATAATTAAGCAAAATAAGCAGTAAGTAGCCTATTAATTAAATAAAGGGTCAATTTTCAGATTTTCAAGTTTTTGGAAAATAAATAATTTTTGGAGGTGTTTTTCATATATTATGATGAATGACTACTTATAAAAATGTGGAACAGAGATTAGTACAACATAATATTGACAGAAAGAATGAGACCAGAAGTGAAGTTTCTTGCAAGATATGAAGTTTTTCAACTAGATTCATCCTCCTTTCACAATTTCCACAATAAAGAAAGGAATGACAACTTTTTTAAAAAAAGAATGTTTTAGAGTGGCTAAAAAATTCTCCAGATCTCAATCTTAAATTTATGGGTTTTTGCAAATAAGGACAGGTAAAAATTGACGTCAGAACAAAAAATAGCTCCAGTTATTTGCAAATTCGAGTATGGTGTAGGAATAAGTATAAAATGTCAGAAACTGAAAATTTAGTAGAGTTAATGCCAAAACAAGTGAATTTAGTTCCAAAATCGAAGGTAAGGTGCTTTAAAAATTAAAAATAAAATGTATTAAAAGCTCCAATAAACAGCTTTTTTTAAACATGTGTTTCATTTAGCTAATACGATCACTACATTACAGAGAGAAAAAAATAAACGAAAAGATAAATTTAAGGTCCAATGATCGGATTTTCCTCTTTTTTCTTTTAAATTGTCTCTTTCTAAATGGTTTGAGGGCGTTACCTTAAATATACTAACTAGTTACTGCAGATTATATTTTAAGTTACGATATCAGACATAAAAAAACGTGTTTTCTCTGAATAAGCATGACTTCTCAATCTGGGAAATATGGTCCCAATCGATTGTTCGATCAGGAGAACGATCCCGAATTTTGTCCAATTAATGTTAATTTTTCTCTTTGTGTAATTCACCATATCTCGATTAAATTTGAAGATAATTGGAAAAATCTTACATACAATTGTAAAAATTTGTTTATTAAAAACACATAAATACAAAAAAAAATTAGTAATAGTCGAAAGATTTTTTCGGTTATTAAGTATACAAATTTTAACATTATTTTAAAGAATGTAGTTTTATATGTATAAAATTTGCGTAGTAAATATAAAATTTGAACGAAATTGATCTAGTAGTTTCCGAGAACTCTTATTTTTAAAAAGTCATAATTTAGTCAAGCTCTGCTGACCAAACTATTAGGACCATATTTCCCAGATTGCTGCTACCCCGTATACTTTGTGGTTCAAAAACCCAAATTCGTCGGAAAAAAGGGGATGTTTATTCAGAGAAAGTAAGTTTTTGTATTTGATTTCCCAACATAAAATATCTGCGCTAATTAATTAGCACATTTGGGGCTAATTAATTTTATATTTTATAACAGTCGTTGAACAGCTGACCCAATTTTGGGTTTATGACTACCACTGTTCAACTCAGTTGCCACCGTTCCCTTATCTTCTGAATTGAACCCAATCGAGAAGACAAGGGAACTCCTGGATCAAGTATTGAGAGAAATTTGTATTCATGGAGGATTTTTTGATGGAACTAACCCGCATTTGCATTACACGGAGAGGAAAACCGCAAAAATCTCCAACGGTTAGCCTAAAGGCAAGGGGATTCTAACCCATGATCTGTCTACCACTGAGGATATTTTACGTCAGCACTGTGGTCGGTGCGAGCTAGGAGAGGAATTCGAATCGGCCAGCCATGATTGGGATTCGAGCCCGGTTCACTTCATTGGAAGGCGAACGCTCTATCCCCTGAATCTTCACGGCTCTGACAAATTAATTAGCATATTTAGTTTAATTACATGAAAATCCGAATAGTAGATCAGTTCAGTAAAAGTTATTCAAGGTGTTTCGTTTATTTTTTTACACCCTGTATGTAACAGATAAATATGATATGCAATGACTATAGGACAAGAGCTAATTATTACCTTTGAGAATATGGTGAAATAACACAAAAGTTTCCATAGACCGCATCTCCATGCCAACATTTGTTTGGCGCAATGGTAGTCAAATGATGATTGCTTATCCTCAAATGCAAACTTGATACATCACAGACATTTTGTTGCACAGATAAAATTGGAAAATAGAAAGTTACTTCACGAATTAAGCTGTTGAAAAATAAGGTTAGACATATCAGGATAGCCACAAATGCAAGTAAAATTTTCTTTCTTCGCATCAAAGAGCAGAGGTGTTCTTTAGAGACATTAAACTCCAGATTCAGACAAATGCAAGATACTTTTTTTCCTGAAAAGTAAGAAATATTTTTAAAAAAACGTAAAAAGGAAAAAAAAGCATTAAATAAATTCAAATAAATTCGATTAATAACAGAAGCAATTTTTTTAATAATGAGAGTTTCATACTTTTTCATAAGAACAAAATCGAGAAAAATGCTGTCCTGCTTTTTTATTTCCGGAAAATAAAATATTCTTAATTAATTATTACACATTAATTATAAGAAATAATCATACCTCATCTATATTTTGGGGATTATGGTTTACTGAAATTGGATTTAAATATAAATAATGAAGCAATGAAATATCGCTTTTAATTGGTATTACTGACATGTCTATTCATAAGCCTACAAATATAGTTAGAATTGCCCTTATTTTAATCAGAACCAAAGATGTATTTTCAGAAATCAAATCATTGACCATAACATTGGTATGTTAGATTTTTTTAACAAATCTAATATCATATCAAAACATCAAGAAAACTATGTTTAATAGAAAAGCCAAAGTTAAATACTAATTTCACTAATTTTCTTTTTAAACTTTAAAGTGTTATAAACAACGAAATAATTTCTGATTATTTCTGATAATGCAGAGTTTTGCATAAATTACATATATGTTTGTAAACAATTTTTAAGCTCAGACAGAACAATTACGGTAGGGCTTCCTATCTGATCACAGTGCGTTAAGGATTAAAATTCAAGCTTTAGAATGAATTTAAAAATTGTGAAAAAAAATACAAATCAGTTATCATAAATTCAAACATCAGACTGCCATGTCTCTGGAAACTTGCAGCGTCTTAAAATAATGAACAGTATTTTAATTTTAATCAAATTTATTTTTAAGAATTTATAGATGATAAACCAATATTTAATAAATTTATAAATTCATGCATAGTTTCATTTAAAATATTTTGCCAACAGTTTTCTAGCCAACAGATTATATATAAAAAAAACATTTTTATGAGCAAATTTTAACTGATATTACTACTAGGCATAATGAAAATACAGGGTGTTCCATGAAGACCACTCTGTATATATAATGATTAAAATATCTATACAAATGTATCCGAAAATGTGTACACACTAGGGATTACTGAATCTGATCTCTATGCATATACTAGTTCAGAGTTTTGTGTAATCTAGATCCAATTATAGGTATCAAATTCTATGTTTTTAGTCTCGCCTTTCTATTTTCTTTACTTGAATATTACTTGAACTATACGGATCGTGGGTACCTTTTAGATTGTGTTTTTGACAAGTATTCAAAAACATGTGTGATAAGGGTGGTTATTACAAAACATCCTATATATTTAAGATGAAATAAGAAGACATGTCAGCAGTTGCGAATTTAAAAACATTAATATTTTACACAAAAATCGCTTACCTGCTTTTCCTGAAGCTAATGCCAAAACAACGCGCGTAAAATTCCGACAGAGACTGTGTTTATCACATTTGACCTTTAGTAATGTCTAAAAACAAAACATGATGCAATGATATGATGATAGATATTTACTCATGGCCCTCCACCCATTCTGAAATGCTGATTTAAGCAACCCCGAATTAATTCTAGGGTGTGGATGATCGGCTGAATAAAAGCCGCTTCTAATGATGAGAATGAATAGAAGGCGGGGACGTCATGTGTTCTACGCTTAATTTTCTTGATTTGTTAAGAAGTTATTAAGGAGTCAGTGAAAAGTTTGAAGGAATTTATAAGACAGCGTGTCTTGACATTTTAAAAATAAATAAAGAATGGATGTTTTGATAGAAATGAGATCGATATAAAAAAAATTTGGACATTACGACAATTTTACAGAGTATTTTAAGTATTACCTTACATAGTTAACGAAAAGTATTTTGCATAGATAATTGCTAAAGCTTGAAAGCCGTTAATATGCATATTACCTAATTTTGTAGTTGTCCTTTCTAATGCCACTTGCCATATAGCAGCAAGCCTGCTTGATGACACCAAGCGAAGCGAAAGCAGAGAGTGTGTTTCTTGTTTTTCAGTGGTGCCATCTATTCACACACACGTCACAGCATGTTTATAGGGTGGACCCATTCATGCATCCATTTATTCATTCACAAATCATAATTTTGATCTGCACCAGAGAACGATCAAATTCATATTCAGTACCCCCAGAGCCATTGATTTGTTATGGGAATATGGAGGATTCTGTGACCCGACAGATTAAATATGCACCATTTACTACAGCGGGGAGTCTTCGGCCGGTGGAGATTGAACTCACGACCTCTTTGAACATGACCCCAGCGCCCCGCCAACCAGGCTATCCTGCCCCCCCCCCAGTTAAACTTAAAATTAACTTTTATGTTAAAGTGCGGAGTCTAGTGTTTTTTAGAATTCAAAAGAAGTAATCTGGGCATTAATGGGTTATCGTTAAAGTTCAAAAGCTTGTTTCTCTCCATTTGTTATATTTTTTTAAAACAATTAGTTCTATCAACTAATGTGGTGAATGTTCTATCATATTTATTAACTTATGGTATAGGAAGTAAATATTTTAATTACCTTAGTTGTAATAGGATTTTGAACCATCTGTTTCTTTGTATTATGGCGATATATAAGTGATTGGATCTCTCAATTAATATATAGATTATTTGATTGAAGTAACTTGATTTTTCGATAGTGAAAAATAAATATCAATATGTAAATTTTAGCATATAAAACGCTTCTGGTGTTCCAACAAAGAGTTTTACTTTAACGAAAGCAGATTATACTGGGGAACATTATTTTTATTTTTATTATTACTTTTTATTTTGTTTTTGTTTCTGTTACAATTTTTCAACGAATTTCGGATATTTTCACGTCACCGATTTCAAATCTGTCATCTCTCTCTCTCTCTCCAAGCTGCTATTTTTTTTTAAAATGACACTTTCAGTCTATTATTATCGAAATGCGTTAGTTTAAAAACATTTTGCATAACAGAGGATCGCATAAATGTTTCGGCAAAAGTTTGGAGTAGATGGATTACTATGCTCATAATCCTCGTAATGGTTTTAATCCTCGTATTGTGCCCTAACTCCGCTAATAGTTTATATCAACATTTACGCTGCCTCACCCTGTTATAAATAATATTTTTAAACTTGTATATTTCTATAAAAAATTTCATTTTAATGGAATCCGTAGCTTTAGGAGAAAAACTAGTTTCATATTTGAAATCCCCTCACCCGACATAGGCAAGATTAAGCATTTGTATAAATACTAAAAAAAAAATTTTTTTTCTTCAGTATTATCTAGGTAACTTGAAAAATTAAAATAATTTTCGACACTTTAATGCGTCACCCTAGTTCATTTGTACATTACCTAGATAATCTGTAGGCTAACAGGTTTTCAAACTTTAGGGGTAGCATATATACAAAGAAGAATATTTCTCTGAAATACAAATTTCGGCATTTTAATGCGTTACATTCTTACATTACCAGTAGTACACATTTAATGCGTTACTACTACATTACTAGATACATAGGTTTGTGCATTACCTAGATAATCTGTAGAATAACTGGTTTTTAAACTTTAGCGGTAACACATATACAAAGAAGAATATTTCTTTGAAATATAAATTTCGGCACCTTAATGTGGCAGCCTAGTTAATTTGTACATTACCTAGATAATCGGTAGAATAACAGGTTTTTAAACTTTAGCGGTAACACATATACAAAAAAGAATATTTCTTTAAGCATAAATTTCGTCACTTCACTGTGTCACCCTAGATAATCTGTATATCAACAGCATAATCTGTAGAATAACTGATTTCAACACTTAAGCGCTAACATACAGGTACATTGAATGAAGAATATTCTTTTGTAATGTAAATTTATGAGCTATCGATTGATTGATGAGCTATCGATTATTTTTATTCCATATTTTTAAAATTTTGGCAAATTAGTTTTTCTTCACCACATTTCTATAACATGCAAAGCCTCCTGAGACCCAGAATCCAGGATACTGGAAAACATTTGGTTCAATTTTATAGCTTAAAAATGTTTTAATATTTATTCTGCTCTATGTGCTAACAAGGAGTTTGTCTATGTGAAAGTGTAGTTCTATTTGATCTCTTTGGTCTGAGTTTTTAACTATAATGAGAAATTCTAAGGATGATAAAACATTTTGGATAGTTTTATGGCGAATAAGTAGCTTATTATTTGATTCAAGAGGACATTTTTAGTGACAAAATGTAAAGAAACTAAAAATATCCTGCAATATTCAAAAATGCTAAGAATTAAAGACAATCCTTTTTATGCAATAACTAAAAATAACTAAAAAAATTAAATTGAATTATTTAACTTCTTTTTAAATGAATATTATCGAATTTATGAGATTACTTTTTTCCAAGTTACACATTTTACAGTTTAAATCATATTTTTCGTAATTTAAATCTCGAATTATGGTAGGGTAGAATGATAATATTCGTTTGTGGAATGATTCATTCGCATCAAGCAATTTCTAAGAACAAGGTTAAAGCACTAATTCCATAAAAAAAAGCGAAGTAATAGCATGAATGACAAAGAATAAAAACTGGAATTTCTTGCATAAATTCTTATATTGTGAAAAATTAGTTAAAAAACGGGGAAAAAAGATTTCACCAGCCCAAGGGGTCACAGTAACCTTCAACATTTTTCTTTTAAAAAAAAGCATAATAATTTATTTTGTGGATGCTTTACATACTCATTTAACTTATAATCAATAATTTATCTTCAAAAAATAGTTTACTGTTTAATCTTTTAAAACATATTGAAAAAATTCAACATTTTAGAATCCTTAAGGCTATTTTATTTTAAAACATTTTCAAATTTTTTTTTCTTTGTGCTTGCAATATTCAACTTAACAATTTTGTGCATTCATTTGTTGATGCATCAATTAGAACATTTTTAATAGATTATTTTGTGAAAAACTAGAAAAAAAAGTTACAAATTGCTGTTAGGTATATATGACATGCTATAAAAATTGTAATACCTCATAAAATGCTTATTCTATGCACAGTTTAAATAAGTGTGCCAT